GCCCGCGCTGCTCTGCGTCGCGGCGGGCGCGGGCCCGGCGGAGCCGCCGGGGGACTACCAGGCGCTGCCGCGCGGCGCTCCGCTGCGTCGAAGCCGTCGGCGTCGACGTCGCCGTCGTCGGCTTCACTAGCAAATCACGGGGAGGTGGGGAGGAGGTGGGGAGGAGGTGGGGAGGAGGGCCGCTCGAGGATCAGGGGCGCTCCCGGCGAGGCGCTTTCGGGACGGGGCACACCCGCGCGGGAGCCGCCCCGTCGCCGCAGGGGTCAAGCCCAGACGTCCAGGCCGCGGGGCCTGTGCTCTGGTCGGAGGGGGGGCCTTCGGCAACAAGGGCTCCCTCGAGGGCGCGAAGTTATTCGCGCTTCGCGCTTCGCGGTCCTCGTTCCTTCTCCCCCTCCTCCTCGTCCTCCTATTCTCCCTTTGGGAGGGCGGCGCGAGAGCGCGAAGTTATTCGCGCTTCGCGCTTCGCGCAGCGCGAAGCGCGAAGTTGGGAGCCCTAGGGTAACAACCCATGGGCGTGGCATCGCTCGGACCTGTGCGCGTTTCCTGGCGAGGCCAGCGCCATCTTGGAGCGTCTTGGTTCACATTCTGGAACAATCGCGCACAAGGCGGCAAGAATGCACGCGGAATGGACGGTCGAGGGATGGCAAGTGGGAGCCTTTGTGTACCCTTGTGCCTCCGTCTTTTGAGTGCGTGTGCATCGACTAGCGTCTTATGATCGATGAGATAGCGCCGATTTAGCGTCGGGTCGCGTCGATCAGCGTTCATTAGCGTTGATTAGCGTCGACTCGCAAGAGCCAACAACATGGTATGCGACGCTCGCATGAGTTGCCACCGAAATCGCGGCCTTCTCGCTGGCCTTCGCCATGCTCCAGGGACAATTTCGATCCGACCGATGGATTCAATTCGATATATATATATACATATATACATATATAGATATATGTACAGAGATTGGCCGACCCGATCCGATTCGATCCCAATAGTCTGGCATTGTGGTGCTTGCATGGCGCCGCTGTTCGGCCTCGCGCGGGCGACCCCATTTGATTCCGACTCTGCCTGTGGTCTTCGGAGGAGTCTCTTGGGCAGTTTCTTGTCGTAGGCGATGTTTCTATCCCAACCCCCGACTTTTCGACGAAAAATGAAGCAGCTCAGAAAGGAGGGAACCCCTGGGATACACCCCCAGGGGGCTATTCGGACGCACCCCTATCGAGGATGGACGCCCCCCCTCGTATATCCCAGGGTTGGGCCCCGATTTTGCGGGTCCATTCGAAAACCCCACGAAGCTTGGGATAGGGGTCAACGTATCCCCTGTTATCTTGGGAGGGCGGAGGCCTTCCGGGTCTTCTGTCCAGCTCTGAGCCTCCCACATTTGGGGTCCGGGTAGATGGCGTCGGAGGATCGCACAGCATCGCCGATGCATCGCCGATGCGGCTCGACGTGGGACCCGATCTTCTCCACGCCGACGGCGCCGATGAGTCGCAGGCGACGGCGATGCATTGCCGATGCGGCGCTATTCTCCCACTCCATCTACTCGGACCTTATTTGGGAGGCTTCAGCAGCTGGGCCTCCCCTGCCTTCCCCCTGGGCTCGCTGCGAAAAAAAAAGAGCAGGAGGAGCAGCAGCCGCTTCAGGGGAAAGTTGTTTTGGAGGCGGATCTACAAAGTTCTGCGTCAAAGGTGTGACATCAAGGTGCTTCCTTTGCTCTTGTCTCGGCAGCGAACTGTACAATCATCCGCTGAGGTTCTGCAGTGAAAGCTCATGGTGGTGGATCGTGCAAGCGCCTGGAATACGTCGGACCCGACCGTTGCACTGCACCATGCCTTGGCCAATAGCCGCCCACGATCGCACAGTTTACCTTACGTTCGACCCTGGATGTTGTTCTGAGAAGCTCGCAAACCGAAGGCTGGAACCTATGCGGGGCCACTGTAGACTAATGTCCTCAGCCTGTGATGATTGGGCCTGGCTGCGACAGGCCATGGTTGCTGGAACCTTCGCAGCTTTACCGTTAAGAGGTTCGCAGAGTGTCTCGGCGCCTGGGTCGATGCGTTCTTGGGGTCGCTATCCACGAGTTTGCAGCCTCAGTTCGGCAGCCAGCGAGCAGGGGGAGCAGCAGCAGCAGCAGCAGCAGCACCAGCAGCCGCAGCAGGTGCAGCAGCAGCAGCAGAAGGGGCCTCTACACCACCACCGTGCCTGGCCAGTGCAGTCTTGGGCTCTCGGATGATATGCAGATCCCCGTGGCTTCGGCCAGGAGGTTCCGGACACAATGCCAATTCCTAGGGTAGCCTCGGCCAGGCACGGCTGTGAGGTATGGATGCGCGCAGGCACAGATGCTCGACGCCGGCGCTGTTCTCAGGGGCAGGAGCTTGGAGCACGGGGCTTCTTAGGGGCTCTTTCGGGGCCAATGACACGGACGACATCGGCGCGTTACCTCGAGACGCCGACCGCAGCAGTGCAACCTGAAAGGAGTCGGCCGTACTTCCTGCCCACGCCCAAGTGCATTCTGCGTGCAGCAGCAGGAGGTCGCGGGCGATGTTTCTCCCCCAATCCCCGAGTTTCGCCCGAAAAGTCTGGCCGCTCAGAAGAATGGGAAAACCCTGGGATACACCCCAAGGGGGCTATTCGGACGCACCCCTATCGGGAATGGACACCCCCCCATCGTATATCCCAGGGTTAGGCCCCAAATTTCTGGTCCATTCGGAAACCCCACGAAGCCTGGGATAGGGGTCGACATATCCCCTGTTAGGAGGACGAGCCAGAGCAGATGGTTGATGCGGCCAAGACGCTGAGGCAACCGCCATTTGGGGGTCGGGAGGGGCTCTGGTCTTCGGGCAGAGCCTGAGATCCACTTCGGGCCGAGGCTCGCCGTGGTCAGAAACGCCCATCCGTCTTCTAGTGGACGCTTCTTCGGTCAGGGGGGACGAATCGGCACGGACTCGAATGATCGTCGATCCCCCAGGAAATATGGGAAAATATGGGAAGTGTGGGAAGGTACGAACATGTCGTAGTTTGGGAAGTATGGGAAGTATGGGAAATGTAGGGAAGTATGGGAAATGTAGGGGAAGTATGGGAAATATGGGAAATATGGGAAGTATGGGAAGTGTAGGAGTTATCTTGACGATCTACACAACTTTTGCGCAATGCGTGGCCGAACTATGTGTGTAGATTTCATTCGCGGTGGAGACGTTGCAAAGAAGTACATGTTCTGCGTATGTTACTTGGCGGGGCTCGCGAGCTACGCGGCTCGCAATACACCAGTCGATGGACGAGGGCTCGATGAAGGTGATTCGTTAGTTCCCTGAGTCGAAGGGAGAAAAGTCAAAGACTAATGGAGAGAAGGCGGGCGGTGAGCTTGAAGTATCAGCAGGGGGGTCCAGCATCCTTCGAAAGTGGCGACAATTTCGCAGATCGCAGGCCCCCAAGGGTGGCGAGGTCCAGTCTGAAGGGCGCCACGATGCTGGCCCCCCCAGCAGCCTTCGAAGGTGGCTCCAGTTTCGCAGATCACAGCCCACCAGAGATGGAGAGGTCCTGCTCTGATCTGCGTAGCACCGCATAATGCTGGTTCCCCCAGCAGCCCTCGAATGTAGCGACAATTTCGCAGAAAGCAGGCCCCCTGGGATGGCGAGGTCTGATATGAGTCTGGGTAGGACGTCATTATATATAGTTCTGGCTCCGGCAGCAGCCCTCGAAAGTGACGCCAGTTTCGCAGATCGCAGCCACCCAGACGGCAAGGTTCAATCTGAGTCTGGGTGGGACGTCAGTCTGCTGCTCCTGGCAAGAGCCCTCGAGACGAAAGTGGCGACACGATTGCAGATCGCACCATCCCAGAGATGTCGAGGTATAGTCTGAGCCTGGGCAGGACGTCACTATGTTGGTCCCCACTGCAGCCTTCGATAGTGACGACGGGCTCGCAATTCGCAGCCTCCCCAAGGATGGGGTGGTCTAGTTTAAATGCGATTAATACGTCACTCCGCTGGACCCCCCAGCGACCACAGTGCTCGACTCAACACGAATGCCCAACCAAAGAGGCTTGAGAACAAAGCAAGAGGCGATTTGTGGTCATCGATTTCTGTGTCCCTGGGCCCCTTTTCTGTAGCACCACGACTGCATCGTTGGTCAGGAGCTGACTGGTGAGCAGCCGGAGGGGCCCTGAGCCGCGGCCCCCACCGCAGCGAGCGGGTTTCCCAGTCGACGCGGCCGGGCGAGGGGCGAGACGCCGAGGAGGCGCTGGGCGAGGGGTGCAGACTTGAAGGGAAGTGGTGGCGGGGGCGGCGCGAGCCGCCGGGAGAAGCTGGATGATGTTAGCGGGGGAGGAGGAGGAGGAGGAGGAGGAGGAGGAGGAGGAGGAGGAGGAGGTGGAGGAGGAAGAAGAAGATGTTGTGCCTCTCGTGTCCATCTTGATTTCTGCTACGCCCGCTGGGCGTAATTCATGGCCCGACAGCCCGAGATCGGCATTCGGCTTCTGTCACACGGACGCTACAGCCTTGACGCTACCCACCATGCGTCAATGATGCTACAGCACACCCGTTCCAGGCCCCTTCCCCAACGTCCCAGCAAGAACGCCTCTTCACTCCCAAAGGAGGCCCCCTAGACAAACGGTCACCTCATATGCTTGCCATTCAGACAGGGGCCCCGCATTGGAAAGGACTTGTCTTCATCCATCGCGAGATATGGTCATACAGTTCAGCGCGGTGTCCAGGGAGACCTCGCTCAACAAAAAGGCTGCCCCTCTGTTTGTACTTGTTGCACAAGTGTATGTTCCTGGTCACGATTTCAGGGGGGGGCCTCAAATCGATGCCCCCCCTTTCTGAAAAGGAGCCGCCCTCCATTTGTGCAGCCGTTACTTATGTGCACAGGTTCAAGGCAGCCGCCAGCGATAACCGCATGTGGACAAGGAACGGCCCTCCAAGTCTTGGCTCAAGCTTTCTGGACCAAGCACTACCCACTACCTTCACTATCCTTCAGCACCTTTTCGATACCGCTTCGCATCCATTCCCGAGGCAATGGGCACGAGAGGTGCATACTGCGTCCTTGCATGCATCTTCAACCTGGCTCCCGCGCAACTGCCTGCCAGGGAAGGTCAGTCTGGCTACAATGGCGTGACTGATATGTTGGACTCGCGGCTTATTCAGACGTTGTTCAAAGAAGCCAACGACACGCACAACGTACAGCCTGCACCAGGAGAAAAGCCTGATTGGCGCTTGGACGAGCATTCCGACGAGAATGTTGAGCACGCGCCCAGGACGGGCAGGACTCCGCTGACCTTTCTGCTGCAGAATTCCGCCGGCGCAGGGGCGACGTCGCTGTGGATTGAGGTGTCGGTAATGACAGAGGCCACGGTGGGCGACTGCTTCACCCTCGAGGGTGATGGAAATTCGGAGACCGTCTGCTGCACAGGCTTTTCCAACGCGGGCCTCCTGACTGTCTTGATGTCCGTGGCGGATCCAACACAGTTCGCGTACACATACGGCGCAGTGCTCACATTGCTTACAAGCACGACGACGACAACCACGACGACAGACCACGCGTCTATGCACGACGACCCCCACGTGTGCGCCTTGAGCGGCGAATGCTACGATATTCGGAAGCCCTCCGAGTACATCTTGCTCCGTGCGCCTTTCGACGAACGTGAGCCGGCCAGGCTCGAGCTCAGTGGGCACTTGGATACCGATGGTGTGCAGCCGTGCGGGCTGTTCGTGAAGCAAGTTGCGCTCACCGGCTCGTGGCTCAACCATCAGGTTGTGCGGGTTCGCCCCCACACGCGCAACGTGGGCGGTGCCAACCGGGCGGCGAAGCAGGTGGTGACGAATTTCTCCTTGCAGGTGGACAATTCTCCCTGGATGTCCTTCACGTTCAATGATTCTCATCAGCAGGTCGCTGCCGTCGGCCAGATCAAGGTCCACTTCGTGTGGAGGGAGCAGCTTGGTCAGCACATTGAGGCCCAGAGCTTGGAGTTCTCCGTGGGCGGAGAGGTCAACCCAACGGTGCTCACAGTCTCGCAGGCGCCGCACCAGGCCCTGAACGTCGACATGTGGGGCGTGGGCCGCCTGGGCTACACGAGGGTGGGTGGCGTGCTCGGCACCGACGGACACCTGACCTCGATAGAGGAGCCCACCCTCGAGTGCAGGGCGATTTCTTTCAAGCCCGACGACTTGCAGCAGAGAACGCAGCCTTTGGTGCCGGAGCCGGCCGATCGCGGGTCCACCATGAGGGTGTCCTGGGAATGATTGGCGCGCCGCCAGACCCAGGAGTCGGGGAGAGAGTCGGTGCGGCCCGTTTCTTTGCGTCGTGACCAGACGCATAGCATACGTGTGCCGCACGTGTCCCAGAGGGCGTCTGCGCAGTCGTGTGGGTCCTCACCAACTTCCCGTCATTACATCTATGTTCTCGCCGACTTGCTTTTCGTGCAGGTATTTTAATGTTTTCGTCATGTGCCATTTGAGGGTGATGTAGCTGAGATCCGCTGCTTCCTTCAAGTCGGTCGGAGGTCCGCTATGATCATGTTGGGCCGATGATTTTTGGAGCATGATGCGCGCGCTCGCTATGATGTCGCGCCTGCGCCCCTTGCGGCCAGAAGGAATAACGACGCGCGGACGCCGCATCTGCGAGTGTCTCTGAGCCTCCTTCTCTTCCTCCTCCTCCTCCTCCTCCTCCTCCCCGCCTCAGGGGCAACGTTGGGGGGGGGATCGGCTCAGGGGGTGATGCAACCTCCAATCGTCCATTCATCGCCGATAGGAGCTCGATAGCTCACCCCGCTCATGCTGTGCGGATTTGCTATCGGGGGCCTGTCGCCGATCCATCGGCCATGCATCGCCGATTCCAACTCGATATTTCCCCCCCGTGAGCTGGTTCCCTCTAGTCTGGGGGTCACAACTCGGACCTCCTGCGACCGTTCGGGCGTTCCGGGCAGACCCGGACGACCATCTGCGAGGCGCAGCCGCTGGAAGGCATCCCGAGGCTGGAGAGCCGCCGAGAGTCGACGAAGACGTTCGTGCACCTCGAGCCTCGAAGACCGATAATGTTGCCCCTCGTCCCCTCTTCTCGGAGGCGGATGGACCTCCTACCCTGACACGTCGATTAGTGAATTGGCCGTTTTCGGCTCGCGAGAGGGCGTCGCGGCCGTCATTTCTGCGGGTTCAGATCCGTCGGTTTCGGTCCCAGGCCGTTTCCACTAAGGGGAGGTTTAGTTACTGAAGGGAGGTTTGCCCACCGCCGACTCAGGTCCAGTCCTCCCATTCGAAGAAGAAACTGCGTAAGCACGAACTTTCGATGGTTCGCGCGGGGTTCTTGTATCCGCGCTGGTCGCCCCTCCCCAGCGCGCGGAGCGCGCCAGGAGCAGCGCCTCCAGCGTCGCCAGGGGGGCCAGCGCAGATCGAAGACATCCGCGCGGACCGTCAAAAGTGTACGGTGGGGGCGCTCGTTATGCCATGTGCCCAGGATGCTTCAGGCCCTGGGGGACTGTTTATCTGACGAGGGCGGTGGTGATATCCATGGCCGATCAACGATTGGGGTCGCCCTGGTTCCCAGACTCTGGATTCCGTTTCCAACGCTTCCTCATCAAATGCCCCCACCGTGTGTTTACGCCGCTATTTTTCTCCCTCTGCCCGTGGGCCTCGTGCCCATGGGCCTCGTGCCCAGCGGCCGGCCTCTCTCTCTTCGGAGGGCACCAACTATACACCAACACCGATCCTGGCCCAGGATCACCCTGGGCCCAGGATCGGTGTATATGCCTTCTTGCGCAAGGCAGGAGGGCGTATACACCGATCCTGGGCCCAGGGTGATCCTGGCCAGGATCGGTGTTGGTGTATAGTCGGTGCCTTCCTATCTCTCTCTCTCGGCCCTTTTGGCAACCTCGTGCCCGAGGGTCCCCGTGCCCGTGGGGCCTCGTGCCCGGGGGCCTCGTGCCCAGCCGGTGGCGCGGGCGGCCGCCGCTTCGCGCCTCCCGCCACGATGCCATGCGGCGATTGCAGAGGGCATGGGTACACCAGGGTGTGGTCTGTGGGGGGCCACAGGCGAACCCTACCCCTACACCCCCCACGAGTTTCGAGGGAAGCGAACCGCACCCTCCCCCTCAGAAATCGTGGGGGGTTGGGGTAGGGTTCGCATGTGGCGCCCCAGTGTGGGATCGGCACCGTTTTGGCCCGGGGAGCACAGCGCTGTCCTCGTCGGGCCTCCTTGGGGCGCGGCGGAGAGCACCGTCGAGGTCCTCGCCCGCCCCCCAGGGGTGCTGGTTGCAGACCACACCCTTTGCAAACCACACCCTTCGGAGTCGCCGACCGCCCCCGTCCTGTTCGGACACGCGGCTGCCGCTTCGCGCTGCATTCGGGGAAGCAAAAGGCATACAGTGGGTTCGAGTCGTTTCGACCCGCGGCGAACCCGCCGCTGGCGTTCAACGTTAAGCGCCGCCGGCGACCCAGAATCCATTCGATGTTGAAGGATCTGACGTTTCGGAAACGGCCGATTGTTCAAGGTTGGACGGTTCCCGCTCTGTCAGGACCCAGCGACGGGGTCGACAGGACACTCGACAGGACACGAGCCTGCCGCACTCCGGATTCCGTAAAAAAGGGAGCGGATTGATTTTCGAGGGTCTTATTTGAGCTGTCTCGGAGAATTCCAGGGTTTGGGGCAAACGGTTGCCCTTTCATGGATGGTCTGGGGGGGGGGTCTAAAATGGCTCGTCTGGGTTGGTTGTGACCCCCCCCCTCCCTGAATGATGAATCTCGGAGTGAACATACACTTTTGGAGCTCCGCGCCTATTTATTAGATCTGCGCTGCCCCCCCCCCCTGGCGGCGCCTCCGGCGCCGCCCAGGGACGGGAAGTCCAGCACGGATCCGAGAATGCGCACGGACATCCGACAGTTTATGTTATATAATGTCGTTTTGCGTTCCTCTCGTGTGCCCGGCTTCATGACAGACGAGCGGCCCTTCTGATCCGAGGCACGAGTGCCGCTTCGCGCCGTGCCTGCGGGAAAACAGCGACACCACCACCATCATCATCATCATCATCATCATCATCATCATCATCATCATCATCATCATCAGCAGCAGCAGCAGCATCAGCATCAGCATCAGCATCATCATCAGCATCATCATCATCATCATCATCATCATCATCATTATCATCATTGTCCTCGTCGTCATCAGCATCATCACCAACATCATCACCATGATCACCATCAGCATCACCATCAGCATCACCATCATCATGATCATCATCATCAGGCAGAGATTCGGGGATGGAGTTCGGATCCCTTGCACTGTCTGGCAATGGTGGCGGGCTTATCTATTGTTGTTCCCTCGGGGGCTGCGCTTTTCGGGCCGGAGTAGTGTAGGGCTTGACTTCGCTAGGCCCCGAGGGTGGATGCGCTGTCCAGGCAACTCTGGCCTCTGCATCCTGGAAGCCGTGCGGTCGTCGCTAAAGGGAATGGGGAGAGGAGGGCGTCTCTCTTCGAAGGCAGGGGTCTTCTTGAGAAGGCGTCGCAGGCTTCGAAGACGACTTCTCAGAAAGCAGGAGGGCGTTTGAGAAGCCCCCTGCCGCCTCAGAAGGCCCCTCCCCACCGTCCCAAACCCTCACGTTTACGAAAGATCCGTCAGAACGATGGGGTCGACAGTTCTTGCAACAACAACAACGGCTTCCGCTTGAGACGTCCTCACAATTTAGCCAGGACCCCCGCTCCCGCCTGAGACCTCCTCGCATGTGACTCAGGCGTCGCGCTCTCGCTTGGGACATCCTTACAATGTATACAGGAATCGCTCTCTCGGCGCTCTGGAGTCGCGCTTTCGCTTGAGGCTCGTTTGCAAGCTATTCAAGAATCGCGCTCTTGCGTTGGAATTCCCCGCAATTTGCTCAAGCGCCGCGCCCCCGACACTCAGACACCAAGGAGTCGCGCTCACGCCTAGCACCCCCTCAAAGCTGACTGAGGAATCGGGATATCGCTGCCCGTCGTGGTTGCAGCTCTTCGTAGCCCCCTCGCTGCCCTCCGTGGCCCCGGTTCAACTCTTCGTGGCCCCTCGCTGCCCTTCGTGGCCCCGTTGCAGCCTACGTGGCCCCTCGCTGCCCTCCGTGGCCCCGGTGCAGCCCTTCGTGGCTCTCTCGCAGCTTTTCGTGTCCCCGTCGCAGCGGGTTTGCGATCTGCGAAACCGTCGCCAGTTTCGAGGGCTGCTGGGGGGGTCCAGCGGAGCGAGGCACCACCCAACCTCATATTAGACCTTCTCCATCCTCGGGGTGCCGCAATCTGCGAAACCGTGGCAAGTTTCGAGGGCTGCTGGGGGGGCCTAGCGGAGCGAGGCACCACCCAACCTCTGCTTGGGGGTTCCCGCGGGCCGCTGTCGTGGGCCGCCCGCAGACCTGGCGGCGCGCCTTCGAGTGTGTAGCTCCCGCGTTGAACAGTGCAGGAAGGAAGCAGGGAAGCTGGCTGGCGAGCTAGGTCTCGATCGATTTTTGCACTACCTATAAGCAGGTTTAATCATGGTGTCGAGCGCCGCGGCGTCATGGCTCAGGCAGCGCTGCATCTTTAGCATGTTACCGACAAAAGACTCTTTGGTCTCCTCCCGTCACTTTCGTCGTCGTCCCCTGCCCCCTGCCACCTTCCCTCTGCCGCTGCCGCATTGATGGTTCGGCCCCCGATGCGTCCTTTTCTTGCCCTTCGTTCCCGCCATCCGTGTCCTCCTCAAGCCTGGGCCCTCGTTCATCGTCCTTCTGTTGTTGTTTTTGGCCCGTGCCACGCGAACGTACCCCATGTAGCCCTGCGTAACCTATAGCGGCGCCTGCACTGCCATTGTCTTGGCAAGTTTGGGCGAACTCGTCTTGCCACTTGATGCACATGGACTGGGTACGTCGCAGGGTAACTATTCTTCAGCAGCGAGCGTTCAACAACAACGCCACCAAACACACGACCAACTGCAACACCAACAGCACGAACAACAACAGCAAACACAGAAACTACCACGACAAAAAACAACACCAACAGCACCAACAACCACAACACAATTTATTTTAGTATTGTTAGCCTTTGTACCCGCCCGCGCGTGCCATTCAACACGTATATCCCGAACCCTCGGTGCCCGCCTTTGTCGTCTTCGATCGTACTCCATTAGTGGTGTATCTTCCTTACCTGCCGCGTAAAATTGGTGCACGCCCTGAAACAGGGGAAAAAGGGACGGATGGAAGGAAGGGGGAGGGAGAAGGATTGAACACGGGATTCGCAGGAGAGGGGGCTAGAAGCAGAAAACACGTGACAGGACCAGAAGGGCCCATCGGGCGGGTAGGCCATAACGGCCGGGTCGCGAAGGCGGGCCCAAGCGGCCAGGTCGAGAAGGCGGGTGGCCGAAGCGTGGGCATGAATCGCGAGGAAGTTTCGAACGATACCGCGATTCCCTTGTAAATCGCGCGAAAGGCCAGAGCGAGAGCGTGATTCCTAAGGTTTGGACGCGCGGCGCCTGGGTAAATTGGAGGGAGTCCCTCGCGAGAGAACGATTCCTGCATACCTTCTGAGGAAGTCCAGCGAAAGAGCGCGATTTTCAGTACACTGTGAGGGAGTATCCGGCGGGAGCCGTCGTTCTTGTAACTCGGGGGCCAGGGGCCCAGTTTGGTGACATTTCGTTTTCCTCTGTAGGAAAACACAGGGTGCGAGTCCCAGGCGGAGCACTTGAACTGACACAAATCAACGGTTGCCGAATAGGGAAGATCAACCATGATTTCTCTGTTCGTGTTAAGACTGTTCGTTCGTATCTGCTCGCGTGCCATTCAGTACGTATATCCCAAAACCCCCATACCCGCCCTCTTCGTTCTTCGTTTTCGATCGTGTCCCCTTAGAGGTAAATCTTTCTTATCTGCAACGTGCACTTCGTGCAGCCCCAAAGGCAGTGGAAGAGAGGACAGATGGAAGGAATGGACACGGGGGAGGGAGGAGGATGGAGCACGAGAGAGAATATCAGGATGAGGGTTGCAAGAGGCAGAAGAACCGATTTGGTGGATCGGCAGGTGAGTCTCACCCTCTCCAGTGGTTTCGGCGACCCCCCCCCTTCGACGGCCTGGATTGGCTGCACACCTGTTGGTACACCGGTTTCTGGTGCCTGAGGCCACTTGCGCATTCATCATGGCGAAGGTCATCAACGCGTCTCATTTGGCGTTCCGTGTCCGTGGCAGCGCCCGCTTCTTCCTTAGTCGCACGTGTGTGTGCCACTAGCCCTGGCGTTGTCCGCCAGCTAGCCGAATGCATTGTGCGCCCGCCCTCGCTGCTGAAAATCTGTTTCCCGAGCGACCCACCCTCCACGGGGGGAAGTACATGCCGAGCCCCGTCCTGAGAAAACAGTCGTTGGGAATCAGAGGCCCTGACAACCTCTGCCGATGGCACCATCCTTACCTTCGACGCTGACAGACAATGAGCTTGTGCAGAGCAGTTCAATTCGGCTAGGCGCCGCCGCTGCTAGAATCGGCTCGCGGCGTAGGCCGCGATGATCTCCAGAAGAGGTCTGCGGGGGGTTGGGGGTGGGGGAGCTGCCCACCCAAGCCCCCCCTTCCGGCAGGACGCCGTCCTGCTCTGGAATTGCAGGGCAGTCTCGGGGACCGCGGCGGGTCTCTGGATTCCCATAGTCGTGGCTGGGGCCTTGATGGTTCAGGCAGTTTGCAAAAACGGCTTGAAACGCCGAAGTGTAAAAGCCGAAAGCCAAACCACCAATTCGTATTCCCAAATGGTGGTCAGCGGCGGGGGGGTCCTGCGACGACCGTATGTTAGAATTGGCCAACCACCATGTCGATGACGATGTGGTGGTGAGGATTGCGTGGGTAGCTTCTAACTGCGTGGGCAGACAGCACTACACACCATCGCGCTGACCACCAAGTCGTTCACCCCGAGGGTCTGAGGTTGCCGTCCTGTCGTCCTGCGCCGATCCACGCACTTAGAGCGGGGCGAGGGGGTCGAGAGGCTCAGGCCTCCGATACCATCAGTTATTCACGATGTGGCAACCCCCATTCCTCGACGGACAGCTTTTCCGCCGCGCACCTGTCTCTTCCGAGAGGTGGATTCTGCGTCAAGGCGCACTTCGTGGCGTCTTCGCGACACCGGAAGTCTGGCGCAGCGAGCGGTGGTCTTCCTTCACTTTCCGGAGCGAGGACAGGGGGCGGGGGCCGGCCCAGGGGAGAAAGCATCGATCTCCCATCGCCCTTTCATCGCTAGCGCTGAGCCCGGGCCCACGTGCGGTTCCGCTATCGAGGGCCTCGTGCCCACCTATCGGCGACGTAGCGCCGACTCCACCCTCCCCCCGAGCCACTCCCGCTCACAGGGCCGCCTACACTCCGATGCGATGCGATTCGATTTGCTGGCTGGGCCCGAGATTCTGGTTCGGTTCGCTGCGCCCGCCCCTGGCTGGGCCCACCCAGGGGCGGGCGCGGCGATCCCCGATCTCCATTCGATTCTGGGCGATTCGTCTGCGATCCGACCAGGTCCGAGTTCGCGACGCGATCCCTTTCGCGTTGCCCCCCCCCCAACGTTGCCCCTCGCAGGAGTGGTCCTGGCCCAAGAGGTGTCCCCAGCCTTTCGAACTATCTTGGAACCCCACCACTACTATTTGGCCATCTGGGCCACGTGATGGGTGCTCTGGAGGCCATCTGGCCCGGCCCACGGCTAACCGACATCCGATCGTTGCCCCAGGTGTTCCGACCGCTTGAAGCGGTCGGAACTTCTGGGGCCTTGGGTCCCGAAAGCGGGCCCCGGGGGGCCGTTTTCGGGACCCACGGCGATCAAGCATGAAACGAGCACAATTAGAAATGAGCACGACTAGAAAGGAACGACCTGTAGCTACCTGGGACCCGAAAATGGCCCCCGATCCGCGAGTGAGAAAGGGGATGGGGCTCTGTAGGGCCTAAAACACGCTTTGAGGATTGGACCCTTTGGGGCGGCGAGCGAGCGCAGCGAAAGCAGGATCGCCAGCCGGTCCAATGCTCGGAGCCTGTAAGAGGGGGCCCTGAGGGCCCGGGAAGTGCATCTTTCTTCCCCTCCCTCCTCCTCCTCCATCCTCCTCCTCCTCCTCCTCCTCCTCCTCCTCCTCCTCCTCCTCCTCCTCCTCCTCCTCCTCCTCCTCCTCCTCCTCCTCCTCCTCCCTCTCCTCCTCCTCCTCCTCCTCCTCCTCCTCCTCCTCCTCCTCCTCCTCTCCCCCACTCATTTCAGCGACGCCCAGTCCTCGGAGATCTGGGCACCTGGCCCCGTCCGCGGCCGGCCCTGCGCGACCGAGCGCGCGCGGCTCCGGGCGGCCCGCTCTGCGCGCCCCGCCCGCCCCTGCAGGGCGTGCTGCGCGGCCTCTGCGCAGAGGAGCCCTGCGCAGAGGAGCCCTGAGAGGCCACGGTCGGCGCGATGCAGCCGGGCACGGTGGGGGCGTTCGTAGAGGGATGCGCCCAGGATGCTACAGACCCTCGCAGGCGATGTTTCTCCCCCAATCCCCGAGTTTCGCCCAAAAAGTTTGGCCGCTCAGAAACATGGAAAAACCCTGGGATACACCCCAAGGGGGCTATTCGGACGCACCCCTATCGAGGATGGGCACCCCCCCATCGTATATCCCAGGGTTGGGCCCCAAATTTCTGGTCCATTCGGAATCCCCACGAAGCCTGGGATAGGGGTCGACATATCCCCTGTTAGACCCTGGGGGATTTGTTATCCGATCAGGGCGGCGGTGACTTCCATGGCCAAGCCTCGATTGGTGTTTCACCGACCTCCAGACCTTGGATTCAGGATCCATTGGCCCCTCCTCCAACGCCCACACCGTATGCACAGAAAGGATGGGGCTGAATATTCTTCACGCTTCGCGTATCCCCACCAGCCCATCTCAAAACAGCAACTCTTGCGAAGCATGCCGACAGTCGTGTTTTTCAGGCGTGTTTCCGCCTGCCCCCGCCTGCCCCCGCCTGCTCCCGCCTCCTTGTACATCCTCCTTGTGGTGGGAGCGGGAGAAGGACGAGGCGGAGGAGGAGGGAGAGAAAGCGCTCCTCGTGGTTTGAGTCGTTTGGGGTTTCTCGTCCTGGTGTGAGTCGTTCGGGCCCTTCTTCCTGTTGTGAGTCGTTCGTGCTCTTCGTGGAGTGAGTCGTTCGGGCCCCTCCTCCTGGTGTGAGTCGTTCGGGCTCCTCGTGGTGTGAGTCGTTCGGGGCCCTCGTCGTGGTGTGAGTCGTTCGGGCTCCTCGTTGTGTGAGTCGTTCGGGCGCCTCGTCCTGGTGTGAGTCGTTCAGGCCCCTCCTTCTGGTGTGAGTCGTTCGGGCTCTTGGTGGTGTGAGTCGTTCGGGCCTCTTGGAGGCCTTTTGGGGCGTCTTGGGGGCCTCTTGGCGGCCCCAGGGGCTTCTAGGAGCGTCTTGGGTGCCTTGGGGGAGCCTCTTCGGGCCTCTTGGGAGCCTCTTGGAGGCCTTTTGGGGCGTCTTCCGTAGCCATTTTGGCTCAAGATGGTGTGCTCGGGAGGCTTTCAGCCTCCGTGCATTCACGAGAGCTGCCGCTGCAGCAACCTCCAGTGCCCTTGTGGGCTCGTGTCGGCGCGTGGGGCGCACCGATGGCGGGCGGCGAGAGCGGCTGGGAGGTCAAGGGCGGCGGTCGGCGCAACAGGAAGCAGAAGCCGTCTCTGGTGTGGACAGTCGGAGGCAAAGGCGGTGGCTCGTCCTGGGTGGGGGCGGGCCCGAGTGACACGTGGACGTGTGGGGCTTGCGGTACAGGTGCGAACTGGAGTACGCGTACGTCCTGCCGTGCCTGTGGCGCGGGTCGCCCTGGGTACAAAGGCAAGGGCAAGGTCACTTCCACGCCTGAGGTGGGGCAGTGGTCCCGCACCTCCTTCCCACCAGTGGCGGCCAGGCCTTGGCGTGCGGCCGCGGAGGCCAAGGCGCCTACGGCTCTGCAAAAGCTGGAGGAGCGCAGGAAGGTCCTGGTCCAGTGCGCCAAAGACTGGGGGGGTGATGCGCCTCACCTCGACCAGGCGGTGGCCGACATCGACAGGCAGATCCAGGACGCCAAGGCGGAGCGCACGCAGGCGAAGCCTTTGTCTGGCCAGCTGCGTGAGGCGCAGGTCCAGCTGGGGCAGATCGACAGGCAGCTTGAGCGCTTGGCAGAGACCGAGAGGAAGGCCAACCAGATGCTGCTCGAGGTCAAGAAGGAGAGGGATGAGGCTGCAAAGCGCAAGGAGGAGCTGGCGACCACGATCCTGGAGCTCCAGGGGAAGATTGCGGTGGCGGGCCCAGCGGCCCCAGCCTCAAACCTCGACGTCATCCGAGTGCAGTTGGAGTGCATCGCCAAGTCCGTCGGCAGCGACATCCAGTCCCTCGGCCTCAATTTTGCCACGCTCGAGTCCCTCCTGGAGGCCAAGGCTAAGGAAGGGGCAGCAAAGGCTGAGGCTGATGATACTGGTGCTGCTAAGCAGCCTGGTCAGGCTGACGACGGGGACGGAACAGAGGACGAATCCATGGGAGACATCGTGGGGGCTGAGGAGTTGCCACCAGGTGTCACCGAGACCGAACGTAAGTGGATTAACGGGCAGGAGCCAGTGCCCGACCAGGAGGAGAACCCGCACTTGTTCAAGCGGTACCAAGAGGTGCTCATGTCGGTGCATTCCTGCCAGCTGGCCAAGAGGCAGCGAAAAGGGTAGCTTGCCATGCGACCTCCTGTTCCTGGTGCTTAATGGGACCCACCTCGGCTACCCCGAGTCGCCGTGGAGAGGCGCGGTCCAGGTGCAGCTGCGCCAGAGCGGGAAGGCCCTCCCTTGGGACGACAGCCGCTGGAACCCTGAGGGGTGGGAGGCGGAGTTCGGGGGGAGCGAGAGTGAAGGGCACCGACGGGACGTAGTGCAGATGGATGATGAGCGTGGCGGGCGCGCAGCAGCGGGAGCCAGCCAGAGGGCGGGAAGTGTGGCCAGGTCCACGCCCGCGGGGCCAGTGCGCGGCCCACGGCCTGCGGCATTGGCGAGGAGCGAGCACGGTGCCTTGAGGGCGGGAAGTGTGGCCAGGTCCACGCCCGCGGGGCCGTCGCGGGGCTTCGTGCCTGCGGCGACGGCGAGGAGTCAGGGGGTAGATTCGGGCCAGTGGCGAGGATACGCGAGGGTCCTGCACGACAATCGCATGATGAGGCTTTTGGTTGACAAGGTGAATGACGACAAGCAGGTGGTCATTGTGTGGACTTTCAACGGCTCGGGATGGGGGACCATCAGAGAGAAGCTCTTGGAGAAGAAGGTGGGGCAGCAGAAGCACATCTACGCTTTCCAGGAGCACCGCCTGAAGGAGGACCAGTGGGCTGGAGTTACCCACAGTATGCGTCAGAGAGGCTACCAAGTGGGTGGAGCGGTGGCCGTGCCCACGCTAGGCCCCATGGGTGAGCCAGGAACCTCTGCAGGTGTGGGAATCGCTGTGCCGAACAGGATTGGCATGGCGCATGTGCGTGGGCAGACCAGCTGGGACTGGTCCCCCAGAGGATCCCCAGGAAGAGCTGCAGCGGCATGGGTTGCAGTAGGTAGAGGCGGCATAGTGGTCGCGACGGTGTACCTGTGGACGGCCGAGCAGATGTCGCGGCGGAACAGGGGGCTGATGGACCACGTGCTGGGGAAGCTGCACGAGCTCAACATGCCGTGGGTGTTGTGCGGGGACTTCCAGAATGCCCCTGCCGTCCTGGCGAGTTTGGATTCGATCAAGCTCATTGGCGCGACGCTGGTGGCCCCCTCTGCTGCGAGCGGAACTTGTCGGTCTGCGAGTGGATGTTCCACAATAGACTATTTCGTAGTATCGAGGGAGCTGGCAGGCCAAGTGAGGAAGGTGGCCATCCACGAGTCTTGGCCTTCGGCGCCGCACAAGCCGGTGGGGATCACGCTCGACCTGAGGCCGCAGGAGAGGAAGGAGCGGATTCTCATCACGCCGAAGAAGTTGGAAGGAATCAGCATCGGGCGCGCGCCTGAGCCACCCGTATACGACGAGGTGGGGGTTTTCAGCGACGTGAAGGTAGCGACCAGGACCTGGGCTTCCTTCATTGGCAAGCTGGAGCGCGAGGCTTTCGCGCTGCGGGGGCTGGAGTGGCACCCCAGGCATGAGTGCGCAGGGCGTGCGGACCCACCGCGCTGGAAAGAGAGAGCGATCCTCAGAGGGGGCGGCAACCACCCAGCCCCGCAAGGAGACGCTCTGTGGTGGCGGTGGCTCGCGCGCTCTTTGCAGACCCTGGCGGGGAACTACGAGAGGCTCAGGTCGTCTTCGGGTAGTGCCCGTGCGCGCCAGGAGTGGTGCATGATAGCTAGTGATCTGGAGGAACGCTTCAGGAGCGTGAGCCACGAGTTCAGGTGCGAGCTGGTCGGCGAGGAGAAGGAGCGGCGGAGAGAAAGGTGTACCCTGCTGGCGAAAGGGCGCTGGCGAGGTGCTGACCAGAAAGCCAGCCTGGACGCGATGATCCTGGAGGCCAAGGAGATGTCCAGGCGGGAGGACCAGGACCTGATAAATGAAAGAAGGAGGCAGTGGGCTGCGAAGCTGGAGGAGGCTGCGAAAGGAGCAGCGGGCGGACTCCACAGAATCAGCAAGCCAGTGGACATCTGGAGGCCGAGGAGAGCGAGTACACCCCAAGCTTCGGCAGACCCGTTGCGGGCAGCGGAAGCGGCCCTGGGAGAGTGGAACGCAGTCTGGAAGGTGAACGACCCGATGCAGGAGCAGGAGCGGCGGTGGGAGACGGAGCCGCGCCAGGAGCTGCCAGAGTTCACGGAGAGCGACTTGGCCAAGTTAAAGAAAGTGGCGCGCACCTTCAAGAGAAAGACAGCACAAGGAGTGGACCGCTGGCACCCCGCCATGCTGCTAGGGGCTTCGGACGCAGCGCACTGGACGCTCCTGCAGATCCCGAGGGAGGTGGAGCGCACGCTCGTCTGGCCGCAGCATGCAGCCACGGTCATCTTCTTCCTGATCCCGAAGAGTGTAGCGGTCGATCGTGCCATCGGCCTCCTCCCGACCCTGGCGAGGGTGTGGGAGATCATGAGGGAGCCCTACATGATCGAGTGGGCCAAGGCGAACCAGCGCTCTTGGGATTGCACGGCCTTCGGCAAGGCGGCGGAGGACGCGGCTTGGGAGGTTCTCCTCGCCAACGAGGGCGACGAGGTGCAGGATTCGGACCCGCGCACCCTAGCGACGGTGACGGCCATCCTCGACCTGGTCAAGGCTTTCGAGAGGGTGAGCTTGCATGTGCTGTGGGAGCGTGGCAAGGCCATGGGTTTCAACACGGGGGTGCTGGCGGTGGTGTGCTCCTATTTTGCCATGGCGAGGCGAGTCAACACGGGGGAGGCCATCTCGGAGGAGACGAGGACTGTGGCTACGATCATCGCGGGCAGCAAGTTCTCGGTGGGTTTCCTCAAGATGGTCATCCAGGACACGATTGACGGTTTGGTAGTGGAGTACCCGCTGGTGCAATGGAGGATGTATGTTGACGACCTGTGCCTCAAGCAGCGAGGGGCGCAGCAGTGGATCGTGGATAGTTTCCCGTCCGTTGTGGACGACAGCGTGGACGGCTTCGCGGCCTTGGGGCTCGAGTTCTCCCTGGGCGACCAGGGCAAGGGGGCGGTAATGGCCAGCACCAGGTGGCTGAGGCAGGCTCTCAAGCAGGATGCAGCAGAGAGAGGTTTGCCCTTGGTGCTGGCCTGCCCTTACCTCGGAGTCGACGTGGTGGCCCACGGAACGGCGGCAAAGAACAAGAGTGGCAAGAGGTTCAAGCGCATGAGGAACAGGGTCGCCAGGCTAAAGGGGCTGAAAGGCTCAGGCAAAGGTGTGACTAGAGGGATTGGTTTGGTGCACAAGTGCGGCCTCAAGAGGTCGGTAATGTATGGGTGCAAGTGCCTGGGCATGCCAGACCACCAGCTGCAGCAGGTAAGGAGAGCGGCAGGTCAGTTGCTTCCAGGTTCGAGAGGAGCCAAGAGCCTCACCCTGCAGTTGGCGGTGCTGAAGGAGGACCCCACCGAGGAGGCCACACTTGCGCCGGTGGTCAGGTGGGCGAGGGCCGTCTGGGAGCAGGCCGTGGCAGGAGACCTGAGAGCGCTCGTTGCAGGGGGCCAGGGGCAGGCGCAACCCTGTCGTCAGCAGGCCTTCTGTCCTGAGGCGGGTGCTAGGCTCAGGGATGCCCTCGGTGTCTGGACGGCGTTGTGGATCAAGGATCTGAGGGGCGAGAAGCACCAGCGGCAGGAGGACTGGAGCCAGTGGAGTGTTCCCCTGGTCGCAGAGTATCTGCAGGAGGCAGCGCAGGCAGGCCTCCGCAGTGAACTCAGGAGGGAGGCGGTTTCCAAGGCCACAGGTGGAAGCTTGCCCCAGGAGGAGGCTCAGGAGGCGGAGTATCTTGCTGCAGAGGTGTGTCGGCGTGCGTGGCGGAGGGCGTGCTGGAGAAGGCGAGCAGCCTTCCGTTATCTTGACGCGCTCGACGAGGATTGCCGCGCCCAGGTCATCTCGCAGTACAGGCAAGAGCAGGTCGCGCTGCAGAAGGTGGTGCGGCGGCTGCTGGTGTCGAGAGGGGCGCAATGTCCCTGGGAAGGAAGCGAAGGAGGCATGCAGGAAGAGGAAGGCTACCTCGGTGTCAGCACCATTGGGAGCCTGGTCGAGCTGCTGCTGGTGGCGGGCAGCCAGATGGAGATCGCGGAGGACAAGATAAGCAGGAGGACGAGTGTCGGCAGCGAGGCTGTCCTCCTGAGCGAGCAGATGAGCAACGCGTGGAGGCAGCAGCAGAAGGAGGTGGGCATGAGTCCGCAGTGGGCCAAGGTCAAAGGGCCCGCGGGGGCGGTCATCATGTCACTGAGGAGAGCGAGGTGGACCTGGCCGTCGTGGACGGTCTACTGCACGAAGGACGGCGAGATGGTGGACCTCACGGCGGTGTGCCCCACTGCCGTCGGGGCGCTCCTCAGGGCTGACCTGCGCAAGGTGCTGTGGGAGCAGTGGACGGCGCAGCAGCCAGGTATGGAGAGCCTAGCCCCAGGCCCGAGGCTCCCGCCAGTGGTGGCGCAGCTGGCCGCGCGGGCTTTCCCTGCGCATGCGAAGCGGGCGGCTCGGTAGGTGGTGCTGGCGGGGGCCTGGACCATGAACAGGCTTGCCGAGGTCAGCATCACGCCGACCGACATCTGCATTGGGTGTGGGCTGGCGGTCGGCACCCCGCATCATCGTTTCTTTCGGTGCCCCGCGCTGCTCGAGGTCAGGAGGCGAGCGCAGGCGGAGTGGCAGCACGTGGCGGAGCAGCAGGAGGACAGTTTGCTCTGGACGCGTGGGCTGGCGCGGGACCCCTCGGCGGACTGGGCCCACAGGTCGGTCGACGAGGCGGACTTCCACTGCGACGTCCTCCAGGGGACGGACGCCCTCCTGTCGGGCGACATCGTGTGCGACGGCTCCAAGCTGGGCACCAGCTGCTGGGCGCAGGCGGGGTGGGCCGCGATGGCCATCGACGCGGGAGGCGCCCCCACGGTGCAGCTCTGGGGCCCCCTGCCATGCCGTTTCAAGGAGCAGAAGACGGTCAAGAGGGCCGAGATGTGGGCCTTCTTAAAGACCTTGGAGACGGTGCTGCCGCCGTGCAGGATCTTCACGGACCACCAGGGCATCCTTGACGGTATCAGGCGGGGGCCGAGATGGTGCTTAAGTTGGGGAAGGCCGCACGCGGACGTCTGGAGAAGGATCTGGCACAAGATCGCGGACGTGGGACTTGAGCCAGAGTGGGTGATGCATGTGAAGGCCCACAGGTCCAGAGCGGCCATCAGCAGGCTCGAGGGCTTGGCGCAGCAAGTGGCCAGGGGCAATGAGGCGGTGGACGCCCTGGCCAAGCGTGGGGCCGCGGAGGACTTCGGGCACGGCAGGGAGCAGACCCTGGAGAGCCTGGATGAGAAGGTGAAGTGGGCCATCCAGAACATCGGCTGGTGGTACCAGGAGATGAAAGAGGGGTGGCCCGACGTGCCGCCCAGGACGGGGCCGAGTAGAAGGAGGAAGCAGCAGAGGCCCCACGTCAGCCTCACGAGGCACGAGGTCGAGGTGTGTGGAGCTTGGCTGGTGTGCACGCGGTGCGGCAAGCGTGCAGCTTCGGCCAGGATGAGGAAGAAGCTGTGGGCCTCCGCTTGCGCACCCCCTCCCTGGCAGGCGGTGGGCCACCAGTCCAGCGAGGAGAGGGGCTCGCTGGAGGCTAGAGTGGGAGCCGCATGCGCACGGAGGCAGAGGGCGGCAAGGCAGGAGGCGTCCACGGCTGCAGGGCGTGGGGCTGGCGGCGCTGTGAGGGCGGCGGCGGCCTGCGCTGGCGTGGCGGTGGCGGCGGCAGCTGCAGGCGGAGGTGATGGAGATGACGGCAGTGCTGCGGGGAGGTCACCTCGGAGGTCGAGGTCGCCTCGGAGACGCAGGGAGGCGGCGGACGTGCCTGTCCTCGAGGGCCCGCCGTGCGCTGAGGAGGACCTCAGGAGGGCGCACGTCGTGGAGGTCGTCGGCCCCTACGTCGTCTGCCGCGTGTGCGGGGCCCACTCGGCGGTGAGGAGGGCCAACTTGGGCCGCGCCTGCCCTGGGCCCCTGCCGCCGCGAGGGGCCGACGGAGGAGCGGACTCCAGGAGGAAGAGGCGGGGCCGCATCCTCCGCGGCTGCCACCCGCAGACGGGCAGGCCGCTCCCCGCCGAGATGGTGCCCACGAGGAGAGGTGGGCGAGGCCCGCGGGCCTCGCGGGGCCGCACTGAGCTCAGCGCGGCAAGCCTCCAGCGTGGCGGAGTCCGCGGCGCTGGATCTGGGGTGAAAAAAAAGGCCTTTTGGGGCGTCTTGGGGGCCTCTTGGCGGCCCCAGGGGCTTCTAGGAGCGTCTTGGGTGCCTTGGGGGAGCCTCTTGGGGCCTCTTGGGGGCCTCTTGGGGGCATCTTGGGGGCCTCTTGGAGGCCTCTTGGGGCCTCGTGGGGCTCTCTGGGAGGGGTCTGGGAGGAATCTTGGGGCCATCTGTCGGGCGATCGATCACAGATGAGGCGAGCATTTTTCTGTCTCCCCCCGTCGGGGCCAGAATCCTCGTGAGGGGTGTCGAATTTTAGCCCTCCCAGGAGTCGAAAAAGCCCCCTCCAACCCCCTTCTTCCCCTTCGGGGAGGGGCCAACCCCTCCCCGAAGGGGAAGAAGGGGGTTGAGAACAGAGCGGGCTCTCTAAACCACTCACGCCCAAAGGGCTGGTGGGATTGCTAGCAGCTCTTGCGCACGTTCTACAGGATTTACTGTCGGCGTCGCCGCGAACGTTGCCCATTTGAGACAGGAAGTTGCCTGCCCATTCGCGGCCGCTGTCGATTTACAACGTCAGTCGCTGTTGGGCATCGTGCCAGTTGTTTTCCGTATTCACTTCAGGTGTGCCAGACCAGGCGGTTGCCGCCCGCCGCGGTGGCATGCCGCCCAATCGGTTGCGGGCCGTGGGCAGGCGGTCGGCGGTTCAAGGATGGGTGGGGTTCAGCGGGTGGACGGTGGATCACAAGATGTCGTGAGCAGCCGACAGTGGGCATTTTGGGACGTGGGTTACAACTTGTCATAAGCTGACAGCTAGCACCCGTATCAGTGCGACGCCCAGGTTTCTCGGTGTGGAATTCTGGGGGGTGGCAGGGACGGGTGTGTGTTGTCGGAATGGGGTCCTCGCTTGCACGGCATCCCCCCCCCTGGGGGGTTCGACAAATCGCATCCATACCTATCGCGCCTTTCTCGCGCTGCCCTTCCCCGCCGTTCCTCCCTGTAGGTTTCAGCGCGTGTTGTTTCTCCACCACATTGAACCTTCACTGTGTGAGGCTCTCGTCCTTCTGGCGCCATCCCTCAGGGTCCCATCTCTGAGCCGCCACCGCATGCCCGAGATGCGCGTGTGCGCGGAATCGGCGGCCTGCCGCGAAAGTGTGGCCGCTGCCTCCTCATTGTTACGCTTCGTCGTCCTCCTCCGTCTCGACCATGTATGACCCTGCAGCCTGAAACTTGCCACAGCCCTGAGGATGGAGAGCCGGTGGTTTGCAAATGTAGCAATTGCCTGCGCGCCACACTTATTATTATTTTTTGAAATATGCAACAGCCTCAAGGATGGAGGGCGGGCCTTTTTCACAATGTGGCCCTCGCTTCTGCGCCGCGCACATCCGTTTTCAAAGTTTGCAGCAGCTTCAGGGATGGAGGGCTGGTCCTTTTCCAGAGTGTGGCTGTCGCTTGGGCGCCGCGCACATTCGTTTTGAAACCCTGCAGCAGCGTCAGGGATGGAAGGCGGGTCCGTTCTGTCAGAATGAGGCTCTACACCTCAGGCGATGCTTAAGAAAACCTAAGTTTTCGGCCAGAGTCTCGATTATTCTTAACGTTTCAATGTACATCCTAAGATTCGAATGGAAAGTTTGGGTTTTTATTCAAGTTCTGAGACTATGAATTTCTCAACCCATGATTTCTAAAGCATTTCGCAGGGTGTAGCCGTAGCGCCGCGCACGTTCGTTGTAAAGCTTTGCGGCAGCCTTGCGGACGGCGAAGGCCTTACGTACGCCTGGTGCCGCCGACCTGGAAGACGGGACCTCCCCCGGGACCCCCGCTGGCGACCCCTCGTCGGGACCCTTGGGGTGCGGCATTCTGACCCAGGATCCCCCCCGGCAAGGAAGGGGTAAAAGGGAAAATGTTTTTTTTCGACTTGACTCGGGTCGGGCGAAAGGGGGGGTTTGGGAAAGGGGGGGTTACGAAATCTGCTGCATGCAGCTGGTTTCGGCCCCGCCGCCGGGCCCATTCCTCGATACATGGGCGCCTCCCGGCGCCGGGAGGCGCCGGGAAAATCAGCTACGTGAGCTGATTCTCAAACCCCCCCTTTGCTATCCACCCCTTTCGCCCGACCCGATTGACTACGACGTTATTTCTCCTTGTTCCTCAACTTCATTGAGACTGACGGCGAAGACGACGCCAGCGTTTTCCACACCCCGAAGGTTCGACGGACTTGTATGATCGAAGTCCCAGGAGTTGCGATCTGGCGCCATTTTGATTTCCAGGACGCAACCGTAACGTTGACTCGCGATGGTGAAGTCACTTCCCGTAATCAGAATGAATTATTGTAGGGCCCCTTGGAGAGGGAACTTGGATGAAGGGTTCATTGCAACATCGTTCGTACGACTCGGGTTTACACTGGTCCTCGTCTTCCTCTTCCTTCACGCCCGTTTCTTCCAAGCGTTGCTCGATCGTGTGCGTCATATTTCGGACGGCGAGGGGCTTTCCACGATCCGTGAATCCTGCGCCCACGCGCCAGATCCACGCATCCGTATGGCATTCCGTCCACATCCTCATCCTCCTCACTTGTCTTTCTCGTCATCGTGTTCCTCGTCCACCTACCCGTGTGTTTTTCATATTATTTTGCAAGTTTTCATCGCATGTGAAAGCGCCGGCTCCTGGAGAGGGGGGGGCACCGTCTCGGGGCACTGTGGATTCCTGAAGGGGGAGGTTGACCGGGGGGGGCGGAAGAAGGAGCTATTCTGCCTGCTTCTTGAATCGCACAGCTTGTCTCTGGCCTCATCTCCACCGTCGGAGACGCTCACGATCCGCGCTCGGCCGCAACAAAAATGCAGACAGACTGGGGCACGCAGGCTGCCTAGGCTCGGCATGGCCGATTTCGCGCTGACGCTTCACGGCTTGCAGGGGGGAGTCGCGAGTTGCCCGTTCTTCCAGGTTGGTGTGCAAGCTACGGATGCGGGAGGGACTGGAAGGGAGGAAGTGTAGGGGGGAGGGAGAGTGTGAAGACGAGCCGGAGGAAGAGAAAGAGGAGCAGATGCGGACGATCACCGCCAGATTACAGTTAGCCAGGGATGCGAAGCGACAGAAATTCGCAGGACAGGGTTAGCGCGGAAAGATACGTGTGTGAGAGGTTGAGTCAGGGTGAGGGGGCCGAACGGTCATTCATTGTCCCTGGGTGAGTGGCTCAAGTGCGGATCCGGGGTGAGGATTTTGCTTGTTGTTGTTGTCGTCGTCCCCCCCGCGACCCGGCCCGCGACTCACCCGCGACCCATCTCGCGACCCACCCGCGACCCACCCCGCCATCCAACCGCGACCCACCCGCGATCCACCCCGCGACTCGCTCGCGACCCACCCGCGATCCACTCGCGATCCACCCGCGACCCACCCGCGACCCGGCCCGCGACCCACCCGCGACCCGGCCCGCGACCCACCTGCGACCCCCCGTCGATTCACCCGCGACCCACCTGTGACCCAACCCGCGACCCCCTACATTGTTTTAACAAAAAATCGGCGCCTGCGGCGGGCTCGTTGTATAGCCTGAAAAATTTTGCGCCTGAGGCGGGCTTCTTCAAAGCCTCGCAGACTGCCGACGTCCCCGCCGCCCCCTCAGTCTTATCTGCAACTGCGGGGTGCTACGTATATTTGTTTTGTGCTGATTACGCAAGAACCACACTGGAGCGCGACCGAACTGTTCGGGGCACCGCTTCTTCCCCAGGGCAACATCAGACGTGTTGCACGTGCAACGTACGACAAGTGATTCTGATGCTTAGTGAAGGTGATAAGGACACCAAGCGTGCCAACCCGACACGCCAAAAGCGTGCCGCGGCGATGTGTGTCCAAAGCTGTCTGGACTAGGGATGCTGAACATCTGCCTATGCGCGCTCTGCCCGCCATGCGCCCCCGAGGTTGACGAAGCGGAGTGCAACAGCAGCAGGGGGCAGAGGGAACGACACCTGGGGACCAGGACGAACCTGGAGCCGGGGGAGGGAGGAGAGCGAGCGACAGGGAACGACAGCGCCCAGGGGGGGGGGGGGGGAGAGAGGAGGGCGAAGCCCGGGCGACAGCCTGAGGGACGAGCAGGAAGGAGAGCAGGCAGAGGAGCGACGCCGGAAGGAGGGACGGCGACACCAGCCGGAAGGCAGGCGGGCCTGAGAGCAGCGCCGGCATTCAGGTTTCTCCTATATATACCCCCTAAAACACAGTATACAAATCCCACGTGAAAATCGCCCCAAGGCGATGGCGATCTCGGGTCGCGTCCGTAGCCTAAGCGGGGGTACGGCTAGGCAAGTTGCACAGGTGGTCAAGGACCCTCAGACGGCGGTCAGTAGGCGGTGGGATGCACGGGGAGCGACTTGAGGCACAAAAGCATCAGGAGCAGGGCGCGGCGTATTGTAAACATTAAAAAACTGGAGGCGGAAGGGGGATGCCGCGGAGAAGGAGGGAAAAGGGCGGCGCACTCAGGCAATGAAAGGCAGTCGTGAGCAGTGCAGCGACCTCAGGTTTCGGGTGGGTGGGGAAAAGGGCCCTACAGGATCCCTTCCCTTCACCCCCCATGTAGGCCACCCCCGATTGGCACCCACCCAAAGGTTCTGGGTGGGAGTCGTGCGAGGTGGGCGAACGTCCAAAACGGGGGCTCGCCAGGGTCGGCGGCGAGCGACGGGGGGAAGTTAGAAGGAAAAGGTCTTCTCAGAAGGCGGCGGGAATTCTCGGAAGCGTTGCCGCATTCTGAGAGGTTTTCTGCGTCTTCGGGAAGGCTTAGAAACCTTGTCAAGAGGCCCGAGGACTTCCGAGCTTTCTGAGCAGGTCCGTCGCGTCTCATTTTCCCCCGTGCTCGCCGCCGAGGTGCAGCGACCTCAGGTTCTGGGTGGGAGTCGTGCGAGGTGGGCGAACATTCAAAACGGGGACTCACCATGGAGAGCCGGAGAGCAGTCCACGCTCTTGAGAAACACGAAGCTGAGTTGCCCGTCCGCTTACGCTATCAGTATGAAGTCTCTTCCCATCTAGTTTCTTAGTCGGTCTCCTGAAGGCATTATGTTTCGCGGAAGTCTGCGAGTGTCTTTGCATGTGCTGAGTGCCAGAGGGGCCACCCGGTTCTACCCGCGCAACCCTCAATCAGATCGCATGTGCGTTGCGGGAGCCTTGGCACCGAGCACCATGCTGATCACCTTTTACTCAGCATGTTGCATGTTGCTAGTCGGCGCAGTCGCCAGTCAGCGCGCCGTTACTGCTCCATCCACCAGTTCTGTCTTTCTTCAGTTGCCTGCGCCCCTGGAGGCTTCAGGATCGAGGTCCGACGGAGGATCGAGGGCCGATGATCGAGGGATCCAGAACCGATGATCGAGGATCGCGGATCGCTGGTCGAGAACCCAGACGCGGGGGATCGACGCTCGAGGCCAGGCGTCCGTGACGCGCGGCCGCCAGGAGGTGGACTCGTTCATCAAGCAGAACGAGCGGTGGCTGATAGGAGAGGCGGCTCTCGGCGGTCTTCGACGACGACGGCGACGGCGTCACGACGGCGACGGCGACGGCGACGACGACGAATACGACGACGACAACGACGACGACGACGACGACGACGACGACGACGACGACCTGCCGCTCCGTGGTGCACGCCGCGAGGCCCGCGCGTCGCAGAATTCGGGCCCAGCTGTTGTCTGCTTTGGCGCTTTCACGCAGGCCGAGGGCGAAGATGAATCGTTTCAGTGCGTTCCGGAATGCTCCCACAGCGTTCCAGAGTGATTTGGAACGGTGGCGGCATCCGATGTGTCCTCCAGACCCGTGGGTTCTCAGAGACCGCCGATTCATCTTCATCCGGAAGTACCCTCATCCTGCCATCGTCTTTCGCTTGCTCCTCCCGACGCTGCCGCCGCCGCGCATTGGGGGGTGGCATGGGCAGGGGGCCCACAAGAGGCATACGCGCCGCGACCCCTGCGCCACAAGCTCAGATGTTTGCCGTTGCCTCCGAAGGTCACCCCCCGCTTCGTGAAATAATGAGGGCGCAGAGGCCTTCAGTGTGCAGCGCTGCGTCCGTCGAGGAAGGGCAACAGGGAGTGGATCAGGAGGAGTTTGCTGCCACTCCTTCTCAACAGATCCGGCGCACTGAGCACGGCTGCGCCTGGGGTGGTCCTGGTTTTACGGTGACTGTCTCAGGCAGTTGCCAAGTCTCTCTTGGCACCCCGAAGCTTCAGACTGAGGGCCCAGACCCCGAGGGAAGAGAGATGGGATATGGAGGCGCGCTGGTACAACCCGAACGCAATTATGAACCGCCCGGTCGTACATTTCTAACCGAGATCACAGTACATAGCCCTGGCGGGCCATACTGGCCACGTGCCCAAATTTGCACCACTTCATGTTGGCGCGCAGGATACCAATGAGCACCGAACAATCCCGAGAGCAACAGAAGCCGAATGAGTTGACTAAAGGCGGCATGCGAATGAATGCATCGAGCCCCCAGAGTAAGCTCAGCTAACGTGATTCGAACAAGTCCTATGGTATGCTATGGGACGAAGGAAGCAACGACATTAGCCGACTTGCACAACCATGAACAAATTGGTGCCCGATGGGGACATGAGAACACCTCTCGAATCGAAGGAACGAAAGGGAAAGCTTGAAGGAATCATGTAATGTAAAGGAGGAGCCCCAGATTCCGTAAGGAATCCTGGAGAGCCTGCGGGACACGAACACATGCAAATGAACAGCACATGTTATCACATACCACTCTTGAGGAGCATACCTGGGATCCTGGAGAGCACGATCACCACCACAGGACGAGCACACAACATGATACCAGCGGCTGAAGAAGTCCTAACACAACTCATTGGGACAAAGAGAGTACGCAGGGGCACACTATGGAATTAATGTTAAACAGACATGATCACCGAGAGAGTATGTAACACGGAGAGATCTGACGAAGACAGCGAGATGAACGAGAACAGTCCCGGCCTTCGCGGTCCAAGGGCACCCCAGAGGACACAGAGCTCCCGCACCCCTCCCCGTAGTCCAGGTCGGTGGGAGAGGCCGGGTTGGAACGGAGGGGTGGGGGGCGTCAGGCTAGGTGCGCGGGGGCGAAAGGGGGCACGAGGAGTGAAAGGGTGAGGGGGAGGGTGAAGTGGAGGAGAAGCGACGAAAGGCTCCGGGGATCTGGGGAGCGGGGCACGGCAGGAAGAAGGCGGGGCCGACGACAGCGCATCCACAATTGGAGCGACGACGAATGACGCACCGCCGCGCACCCCGCTAAATCCTCAGGGTCGCGGCCCTTGGCGCCGTTGGGGGTACCGTGGATGTCGGGGCCCCTGGACGTCGCTGCCGGTCGCGACGAAGCGGCGGTCGCCTCCGCCGACCTGGCGGACGCGGCGGCGTCGACCGTCGTCCTGCCCAGCGCCGTTCCTGACGCCGCTCGCCTCCGCCCGCTTTCTCGCCGCGCCGTGGCGCGGCGGCGACGAGCGGGCCGTGGTTTCTGTTTTGGGCGCGCTGCTGCCGAACGCGGCGAAGAATTGAGTGAACAGCTGAGTTGGAAAATGTGCCCGCCCCTTGTCGTCGTCGTTGTTTCCGATTGTCGCGCGCCTGGCCTGCATCTTTCGGGGGCAATGGGGCTGCGAGGCAGGCGAGCGCTCCGAGAAGATGAGCTCCCCTGTGCTCGACCGCTCCCTCATTTGGTCCTCTTGCCGTTATCGCTCGACCTCCCTTGCCTGTTCCCAGTCGCTGCGCGCGCCGCCGCCCGCTCGCGCTCCAACGTTTGACGAACGTGCGAGAGCACGCATATCATAACTGCGAAAATCAATTACCTTTCATGTTTTGATACTTTCAGGTTTTATTTGCAAGGTGTATCATGTTGATTGATGTTTGCATGTGCAATTAAAACGTAGTGTAAAACAAATTATTGTTGAACCGTTCGAACATGCAATTAAAATTTCCCCCACCCACCAGCGAATGGTTCTGCGGACCCAGCAAACCCCGTCGATCGAAAACCCTCCCCTGCCACCCCTTCCCATCCCATTTCGTTTGTTTTGTTTTTCTCTGTTTATCTGCGGTGGTCGTAGCGGGCCGGGGTCTTCAATGAGATTCCACCGCGTGCTCAGCAGTCAAGAAGGGGAGTTTCAGGCATTGGCAGTGAGGGGAAGGTTGCGGACAAGCGGCAAGATGAGAAGGAGGAGCAGGAAGGTAAAGGTGAGGACGTTGGAGGCAAATGTTGGCAATGTGTATATCCATACCCATTGCGTCTTGGACTTTCTGGGAAGGGGCGCCGCAAGGCCGAGGCGAATTTGACACAAATCGAGCCCCAGGGGGCCAGATGTCCATCCACATCCCGTGCGCTTCGTGTTCCTGGGAAATGGAGACCGCCACTCCAAGCTGCAGCGGGCGCGGACAAGTCTTGCCCGCATGGGAGGGACGCGTGAAGAACAACAACGGAACAACAAGTCGCAGTGGAAACGCATCGTGCATCAATAGTTCCTGCGCGGTAGCACAAACAATGGCATCGTTCGGTCGTGGGCATTTCTTCTCGGCGAGGACCATCGAGGAGCATCTTAGATCATCTTGCGACCATCGGCGGCGAGCCAGGGGGGGTGAGAAGGGGCGGGCCTTTTCAGAAGGCTCGGAAGTACCCCCGCCTCACGCGAAGTTGCTTAAGCCTTCCGCGGAGACACCTAACGCCTATCCTTCTCACGTCCCCCCGGTTTTTCGTCGCCGAAGAAAAACGGGCGGCACCGAAAGATGTACGGGGGATGGGCGTCCGACCGGTGGCGAGAGGAGCGCTGTGCGGGAACAGTCGCGCCCCGTTCCGAAAAAAATATCCAGGGAAAGATGGGAGCAGGACGGGGCAGTACTCACATGGGGCCAGTGCGCAAAAGGAACCGAAACAGATCCTGGCGTTGCAATTTCGAATCGTTTCGAGGAGGTTCGAGGGACTTCGAAGAGGTCCGGGAGGTCCGAGGTTCGTGGACCGTCAAGGAGCCGCTGCTTGGGGGGAGCGTCAAGGAGGTTCGAGAACCGGCAGGGAGCATTGAGGACGGTACAGGGGGGCAGGGATGGGGAATTTCCCCTTCCCCCTTTCCCCCTTCCCCTCCCCAATTTGCCTCCACTTCCCTCCCTCCACATTCTTTCACACTCCCCCCTCCATCCCCCTTCCTTCCGCCTTCCGCTCCGCCTCCGGTTCCCCCTGGGGAAGCGGAGGGGGACCCGAAAAGGCGCCCTTGGACGCGCATAAAGGGGAAGGGTGGAGGGCGGAGCAGGTGGCAGGCCTTCCATGACGACGCGGGAGAGCAGATGGGCAAAGATTGGAGAGAGAGAGAGAACCGCGCTCAGGCGGCCGACATCTTCAAAGCTATGAGCCCGGCAACTCCACCCACTTGCCGCTCGACTGTGGGTGTCAGCCCTGGGGGAAGCGGGTGTTGAGGGAAACGGATCCTGTGGTGTTTCGCAGTTTTTGGCTTCTCGGGGCTCCTCCACCCCCAGGACCATCAGAAAACGATTCAGGATGAAGACTTGGGCCTGGGGGGAGATCCCAGGGTCTAGGACTCGTTTCCCCCACGACCTGTTTCCCCCCGTGTTAAGGTGTCTCCTTGCGTGGTCTTTGCGCGGCCCCCCTGAAGTCCGACGGTCCTCAGGGCGTGTGTTGGCCGATTGTGTGTGTGTGTTACCTCGCTCTCGACTGAGGGCACGAAGCCTTTGTCGGCCCTCATTGCCTCACCCGCGTTGGATTGAAGTGCTCTGGTGGACGAGCACGCATTTGCGCTAACACACGTGCATATGAAAATCGAGAAGCGTTCGCTTGCTCTGCTCCATGGCCGAACTCGTGATATTGATGTTCTAGGGGATACCGCTTTCGGCATGGTGGACGCCATCGAACATGCTTACACAGGCATGGTGCCATGCGGCACGCTGCCATTTATAATCAAGATGGTTATTCTGACGCTTGGCACTCGAGAAGTAGAAGCATTGAGGTGACAATCTCAGGCAAGCGCTCAATTTGTGTATGTGAATCTGTGCCTGCATACAAAGAAATTCAGACATGCACTCGCATCAAGAGGGACGGGCAGGCGAATGTCAGCATGAAGAGATTGAGGGAACAGCAGTGAACGGGAGACACATGCCAACAATGGGCCAGTTGCGAAGCGCGGCGATGAAGGAGGGGCATGGTGTCAGGTGAGAGAGAGTGAGAGTGAGAGAGATTGACAGAGGGAAAGTGAGAGTGTGAGAGTGAGCGAGTGAGAGAGTGAGAGAGTGGAACTGATACATATATATATACATACAGAGAGAGAAGGAGTGAGAGAGAGAGAGATATCACGCCGCGGCCCATCGTTTGTCTGCCAGGTCGACCAGAAGCGAGTCATCTCGGCTGGCACCATGTCAGGCCATCGTTCGCATCGCGTGTCGCTTCACTTCGCTTGCTATGCCATATCTGGAATGCAGGCACTTTGACAAGAGTCAACAAATGTCAGTCCTCTCTGCCCCCATTGCCTTCGAAGCCCGGCTGCGCTGTCCAGTTCCGCAGCGCGACCTCAGAAGTTCGACCGCGCCCGTCCTGACACCGCAGTGCGCTCTCCTGAGCTTCGGTTCCGGCCCGCGGCCATTGGTGGCCCTTTGCCTGAAATTTGATCCATGTGCGCCGGAGCTGTGGTGGCGAGCACTTCGTTATCCTTGTCTTGTGTCGATACCATGCTTGTTGTTCACTCCCGCTGCTCCCCCTCCCTGTTCTTCCACTTCATCCACCCTCCTGGTTCCAGGGATCTGGCTGCTGTGGCTGCACCAGCTCCTCCTCTGCCTCAACGGTCTCGTCTTTCTCCCCCTCCTCTCCCTCTGGCTAGAGCATCCGCATGGTGGCAAGAAAGAAGGGGGAGAAGGGGGAGCGGCCGGGTAGCTGTCGGTGGAAGGGACGGGCTGGATGGGGAGGCAGAGGGTGGGGTGGTGGGCGAGACGGGGAGGATGGAGGAAGACTTGCGCACGTTGCCTTGAAGCTGCGCCCCTGATCTGCAGCCAATTGCGAAACTCCCCGCGGGTCCAATCGACGCTGGGGTGTCTGACACCCCCGCCGGGTCTCACCTAGCTGCAGACACTCTTCGAATCCTGAACTGGGGCCAGCTGGCTTTTTAAAAATCTGGCCTGCCGGGGTACGGCAGATCTGCGTCGTGTTGACGCGTCGTCGCTTGGAATCGGTGGGCATGCAACGATATATGATATGTGCAATCGGAAGGCCGCGATCGTTCCAGGTGGACCATCCATCGATACGATCCTGCCGTAAGGCTCACGGGTGGTCAGCTACCCGACTTCTCCGGTTGTGCGACCTCCCGTCCCGACCACGGGCCGTCCTCGGGAGCCGCCGCGTCGGCGCCATTGCCCCTGCCCCTCTGAGGCTGCCGCGATCCCGTGGCGGTGATGCAGACGCGAGCCAAGAAGGCGGGCCAGCCCAGCGGTCGTCGCAGCGACCGGCATGCGCGCGGTTGCGGTGGATGGGGAGGGGAGCTTAGAGACGTTCCAAGATTTCGGGCCGATTGCTAGTTTCAACCCCGGCATGTTTTTAGCATTGAGCTAAAGGATCTTGATAGTGGAAAACAACCTGTCGCAGAAAAGTTCCGCATGGGGGACACCAGAACCCTAGACCGCCCGGTCGGGTAGCCGCTTTGCTTGAGAATTCTTCAAAGCCGATTCAGGTATCATGCTCTTGCTTCAATGCCGTCAACATTTTTCGTCAAGACGGCCACGGTCCTTTGTACCGCAGGCGATTTGTCTCCTCCAATCCCCGAGTTCTTCCCGAAAACTGAGGAAAAAGGGGAAAATCCGGGGACACACCCCAAGGTGGCTATTCGGACGCCCCCCTATCTTGGATGGGCGCCCCCCCCATCGTATCTCCCGGGGTTCGGGCCCAAAATTATTAGTCCAGTCGAATCCCACGAAGCCCGCGATCGGGGTCGACATATCCCTTGTCATTGTAAACGATACACTAAGTGCACATGTCTGTGCTCTCACACCTGTCCCGCCTCCATCTGTCCTCGGAAACCCGCGGGACATGTAGGAATGCACGCCTGCACTAGCCGACCTACTCCTCGACACGCCTCCTCACTCTTGATGCTACGAGGTCAAGTGGGAAAAGCACACTGACACACATAATCTCCGATTCCCATGAAAAAAGTGGAGCACATGGGAAGCGGAGGGGAAGACGGACACCCAGAAAATATCGGAAGTAATTGGTATTTTGGCATTTATATTTAGTAGCAGGTGTGTCCCTGGGTTCCTTGATACTCCTCGACCCGCCTCTCCACCCAGGCTGCTATTAGGGTGCTTTGCTCGGGCAAGCCCCTCTAGTCGGTCGCTGGAGATTGCTTCCAGACCCCGGGTTCACTCAAATACTGGTCTAGTCGGGCGTGTGGTAAATGCGAATTTGGGCATCGTTCGGAGGTGTGCATTTTTTCAGGGGCATCTTGGATCTCCTTGCGGCAAATCACATGGACGAACCCGGGAAAATTATGGGAAATGGAGGTCCGAGCGATGGCAAGGGGTGTATTACAGGGGGGCGTCGGAAATTTGCTTAAAGGGGCCTTGTAGGGCTCCTGTTGGGCCCCTGCTGGCTCCAAACTTGACCCTTAAAGATCAGTTTGCTGCATTCTTTTTTCACCTCACATGTAAGTCCCCTTCATTACCACCCGCCCAATCTAGGAGTTACCAAGTGAAATGGCCAGCCAGGCAGGCTGCAGTTTCGCCGAGCTCGGCCGCGCCCATGTTTCGAGAAGCTGGCCGTGCGTGTGGCTGCCGCTGCGCCTCCTGATCCTCCTGCTGGTCGGCCAGGTGAGCCAGGCGGGGGCGAGCCCGCAGCTACTGCGGCCGCAGCCGCAGGATCCGAATATCGCGGCATGGCCGTCGACCAGGAAGTGAGACCTGACGACGTCACTGGCGAAGAAAAGGACATTGCTCTTGGGCAGCAAGGACATGCCCGACAAGGAACAGCACCCCGAGCAGCACAAGATGTACCTGGAGGTGCTGCCGCTGCAGCATGCCTTCAACCTCAAGCGCCAGCGGTGCGGGCAGCGGGCTGGTGTACATGGTGACCAGCGGGACGGAGCCCGGCATGGTCCACACCGCTGCGCGCGGAGATTGCGCAGTACCTGCGCAGCACCAACCGCGTCCCAGCCCTGGCTGGCGCGGAGTGGAACCCTGAGGGGTGGCGAGGGCAGGCCAATGGCAGCCGCGCGGAGTCGCCGCACATGGCCTGCCAAGGAGCGGGGATCTCTGAGGTGGCACCTGCAGCAGTGGGAGCTGCAGGCCCCCCTGGGCGGCGACCGGCGGATGCGGTGGCCTCAATCGCGGACGATGCACTGTCCGTGGGCAGCCTGGGGTCATCAGCTGAGGAGAGCGCGCAGTTCCCGCGGTGACGCGGGGAGGGTGCGCCAGCTGCCCCACCTAGCCCCTCGCCCCAGGGCCCCCGCCCACGCGGATCTGCCTCGGCGGTGCATCCGCGCGGGGCGCAGCAAGGAGGGTGGCTTGGGGGGTTCGGGAGGCTGCAGTGGCGCGGGCAGCAGCACGCGCGCGACGTGCAGGGCGGCTCCGACGACGGCGGCTACGCGGGCTACTGGACCAAGCACCACCGCTGGCCTGTGGAGGGCTACGCGCAAGGGCTGCAGGACACACGGCAGATCGCGCGGTGGCTTCTGGCGCCGACGAAGCGCCAACGGCGGAGGGCCTCGTGTCGGCCGCCGCGGAGGGGGCGCATCTGCCGCGGCGGCGTGAGAAGTGGCGCAAGCTGCCCCACTTAGCCCGTCGCCTCAGAGCTCCCCCCCCCCCCCTCGCGCGGATCCGCCTCGGCGCCGCATCTGCGCGGGGCGCGGCAAGGGAGGGGCCCGCGGGGGCCGGGGGCCCACGGCGACGCGGGCAGCGGCGCATGTGCGACGCGCAGGGCTGCTTCGACGACTCAGGCCTCAAGCGGTCGTTGAGGCGCTCCGCGGGTGAGCTCCCGCCAGGCTCTCGGGGGGGAAGAGCCTCGCCCCCCAGTTAGCAAAGGCAAAAGGAGGACCCCGCGCGCGACGTCGCGGAGTCTCCGACATTGCGCCGGGCTCCTGCAGTGTGGGAGATAACGGTGGCAGGTAAAGCAGATCTGGCAGGTGGCATTGGTTCCAGTATCTCCTGCAGCCCAGGCCCGATCGAGACAGTGCCTCGGCGATGCCGCGGCTCGAGGTGGCCAGGACCTGACCGACGCCGCGGTTCGAGGCCGTCAGGACCTGCGCGTTGCCACGGCTCGAGCAGGTCAGGAGTTTTGCGAGGCGCTGGGCATCTGGGCAACGCAGTGATCCAAGTCCTGCGAGGCGACAGCTACGTGGACATCGGCGACTGGCTGGAGTGGTGCGCGCCGTTCGTAGCGCACCACCTGTCTGACCCGTTGGAGCGGCACTTGCAGCAGGCCATGCAGCGCCGCTGCAGGGCGCAGGGCAGCAGCACTCCGCGCTTAAGCAGGTGGCGCATAGTTTGTGCAGCAACTCCTGGGCATGGGCACGCTGGGGACGCAGTGCTAGCAACGGTGCGCCCCATGGGCGCGGCAGCCTTGCTGCGCCGCGAAACGCAGGCGCAGCTGTGGGGGGTCTGGACCGCGCAAGACGAGTACAAGAGCTTGGCGCCCGCGCCCTACTTGCAGCAAGTAGCGTCGCAGTTCGCGGCCAATGATGTCCCCGCGCACGTGAAGAATGCAGCGCGCAAGCTGGCGCAGTGCGGCTGCTTCACGATGGGCCAGCTCTCGGACTGCAGCATCACGCTGGCGGACATCAACCTTGGACGTGGTGAAGTAGCGGGCACTCCCCGCCAATGGTATCACGCACGCCCCAGGCTGCGCGACGTCCGATTGCGAGGGCAGCCTGAATGGCAGCACGCGGCGAAGCAGCAGGAGGGCAATTTGTCGTGGACGCGCGGACGGGCGCGCGGCCCGTCGGCCGATTGGCAGTTCCAGGCGGCCGCGGAGGACCGGCACTGCTGCGAGATGATCGCTGGGGGGCGACGACGTCCTGACCGGTGACATCGCGCGCGACTGCACGATGCTCGGAAGCAGTTGCTGGGCGCAGGTGTGATTGGCAGTGGTGGTCATTGCCGAGGAGGGCGTCCCACGTGCCCAACTTTGGGGCCGATTCCGTGCCTCCCCCATTCGCAGACGAGGGTCAAGCGCGCAGGGTTCTGGGCTACCCTCAGGGCGCTGGGCGTCGTGCTCCCGCCCTGTCGGATCTTCGCGGATCATGCGGGCATCCTCGACGGACTGGCGAGGGGGGCGCGCTGGCGTCTCGGCAGGAAGCGCACGCGCGCCGATTTGTAGAGGAGGATTTGGCACAAGCTCGAGGGCGTCGGTTTCGACATCAGCTGCGCGAGGCATGTCAAGGCGCATCGATTTCAAACAGCCATGGGGCCCTTGTAGGGCCTGGAGCCTCAGGTTGCGAGAGATAGCCAGGCGGTCGACTTGCTGGCGAAACGCGAGGCCGAGGAGGGTCACGGGCACGGCAATCAGCAGGCGTTGACGGGCCAGGGCGCCAGGGTCCGCTGGGCCGTCCAGAACTTCCGGCGGTGGCGCCGGGAGCTGGAAGGGGCGCGGCTAGACGCGCCGCCGCGCCCATTTGGCCAGGCGAGAAGGCGGCCACCGAAAGCCCCAGCTCAGCCCGACGTTGCGCGAGGTGGGGCAGCGGGGCCGCCGGCTGGTGCGCGCGCGCTGCGGCGAGCGGGCGGCCGCGGCGAGAATGCGCAAGTCGCCGTGGGAAGCCGAATGCAGGCCGCCGGCCCGCGCGCCCCATGGCGGAGGGCGAGGGGGTCGGCTCGCTCGAGGCCCGCGTGGCCCAGGCCCGCGGCGAGGGGCAGCGCGCAGCGCGGTCGACGGCCATGTCCTGATTGCCGGCCGCGGGGGCGCCGGCGGCGGCGGCTGCGGCTGGGGCGGCGCGCGCAGCTGGGGGCAGAAGTGCCGGCGACCCTGGCGGGGCGAGCAGGAATCGGGGGCGGTCGCGCCCGCCGAGGCCTGGCAGAAGGGGCGAGGGCGTGGCGCCAGCTCTGGCGAGGCCGCCGACCTTGGGGCCCGACGCGAGGAGGCCGCGCGCGGCGCGAGCGCGCAGCCCTTGCGCAGTCTCTCGCGAGTGCGGGGCCCGAGGGGCGGGCTCGGCAAGGCGCGTCCTGGCCTTCTGCCGCCGAGAGGGGTGAATTCAATTATCGGCTCCAAACAGAAGCGGAGAGACAGGCTGCTCCGCGGCATGCACCCACAGACGCGGAAACCGCTACATGCAGTGCTGGAGCCAGTGCAACGTGGAGCTGGTGCACGTCGAGACTGACGACATCGCGCTTCTGGCCTGCGGGCGGGTGTTCTGGGTCCAGAACGTCGTGAGCTAGTTGCAGGTTCGGGCCCGCCTGGTGAAAGGGGCCCAAGGTGAGTGGATGGCGTGCCTGTCGCTCGCAGAGGCGGGTGGGCGAGCTGCCGTGGCCCTTGGCAAGAGGGGCCGTGACTCGGCGGCAGGCCGAGTCGCGAGCGGGGGCGCATGGCAGGACCTGCTTGGGCCTCTGGGGCACTTGTAAAAAGGACTTTGTGTCGTTATTGGAGCGTCTTGGGGTCCTCTTGGGGCTTCCTGGGGCCTCGTGGGGAGTCTTGGTGGCCTATTGAAGCTTTGTTCGGGGCTTCTCGGGCCGTCCTGGGGCCGCCTTGGAGGCGATCGATCATGCAAGGGGTGGCTTTCACTAGGTTCGCCCAGCCAGGTGGCCAAAATAAACGCAACACCTGTGACACATCAGGGTGTGTTGCTTTCTCGCTTAGGCCATCTTACACGTCTAACTCCTCGGCCCCACCTTACGTCCAGACCCACAGGGAGGGGAAAGGGGGAGGCGTCAAGATCCCAGCGAGAACGCCACAAGTTGTCTCGCTCACCCGCACCCGCCCTCCCGCTACATAAGTAGCACCCGAGCCTCGGCGTATGCAGGGGCCGCCATCGACAAGCATCTGGAACCAATGCAGGCGCCAGCCAGGTGCGCGAAGCCTGCGAGGTGCACCGTTCCTGCCAGGTGCGCCACGCGCATCGCGTGCGCCCCATGGCGAAATATGCCCGCCCCCCGCGACCCCTGCAAAAACCAATGCAAAGTGACGGCGGGCCTGCGAGCGCTGTGCATTGTGAGTGTTTGGGCGAGCGCCTGCAAGCACACTTCAAAATACGTTGTCCCAGTATCTCTCGTGCCAGAGCTGTAACATGGCAAGGCGGCGTGCACGCACGGGCCGACAGGCCTCGATCACGAAACATAAACCCAACGCATTCATTGTACAAGAGCCGCCGATAGGCGGATGAACGAATATCCGACGCATCAGCCGACAAGGGCACGAGTTTCGAGAAGGCCGCGAACGTGGGGCGTTCAGCGGTGTCGCGCTCGATCGAGTAAAACTTCGGGGCTCGAAGCGGCCACCTGCACGGTACTTGACCTGGCTCCAGGAGGGCCCCGAGGCCCAACATTTTACGAATGAAAGGCCCCAACCAGCCGCACAGTTGTTCCTGGCCGCCAGGCCCTACAAGATTGCACAGCGCAGAAAGCACGGGCAGGGAGGGAGGGCGAGGAGAGAACAAGATAGACTATGTTCACGACCCCCCCCCAGCGTAGGCACGTTTGTTTTTCCTTTTTAATCATAAAAGACTAGAAAGTGACCCCCCCGACTTTGGGCAAACATCGGGGGCCTCGTTGTGAGCGAGTTCCCTTGGAAATTTCATATGTTCCACAACCGGAGTGCCCCCCAGCGAACATGTATTAGATAATTGCCTACTTCACTATGAGGGTGGGGAGCTACGAGCTGCGCCTTCTAGAAAGAGCTTTACTCCCCGAATTCGGGTGTGCAACTTCAGGCCGCCGCCACGCCCAGCTTCACGTCGTCAACTGCGAGTGAACTCGACGCTTTGATTCGACGAGCAGCAAGCGGCCTACGCGCCGCCTTGGGTGCCGCGGCCATGCACGCGCCTGGAGCCCGCCGTAACTGCTCGCCCTTCACGATGTCGCTGTCCTGCATCAGCGCACGCCGCCAGGCGAGCACGTGCGTCTTCGTGTAGCGCTGTAGGGCACTCGACGTGGTGCAGCGCCCCCTCCTTCTCGCGATCTCCAGGTCCCCTGCGTCACATACGTAGTGAGCGGCTCCTGCATGTCTGATCCCATGAGGCGGGCCAACGTCCTCCAGGCCCAGCCTCGCGAGGCTGGCACTCCAGGTCCGCCTGTACTTGTCGGGCTTGACCGGGAAAACGATATCGTCGCTGTCCAGGTCCTGCGTCAAACAGCCCAACACCTCGCCAGCTCAGTCATGAGCTCGACCCCGTGCCCCGAGCCCGTCTTGACCTTCTCTTCCTGGCCATGCCGCCCAGAAAGAGCGCCACCCTGCCAGAAGTGTCGCTTGAAAAGTCACTGCGTCTAGTTGGGCCCAGTCCTGCTCGCGCATCCAGCCGTCCAGCTGCACGACGACGGCACAAGCCTCGTAGACTATGCCGGCAACGCAGAGGTCCAGAATGATGAGGGCGAGCCCTTGCAGCAGTGTCGGCTGGCCCTCCTGCCCCTGCTGCTGCCTCTCCCAGGCCTTCAAAGCCCGAGCGGCGAGCGGCAAGAAATTTCGATGGTCCTCAAAGGTGTGCATGAAGCCGTTGGAAGAGCAAGCTACCTCTCGCGTGCCCGAGGTTCCGCTGGGTGTCGGTCAAGAGCGAACGGAACCACCGTAGAAACTCATGGTCTTGGCCTTCAAGGGCGAATGGAGCCTATGTAAAAGCAGGCGTTTCGCCCGAGACATCCTCAACACATGTTCATCTTAGAAAGTCGCCTGGTCGACCTGGATACCTGAAAACAAGCGCGTCGCCCGAGACATCTTCAAGAACTCCTCATGTCAGATGTCCGCCTGGGCGACAGGAGGCGGTTCTTCGAAACACGCGTTTCGCTCGAGACTTCGTCGAACATTCTGCGCGCAGGACGCGCCAGCCTCGTCGTGCGAGCACACGCAGAATCAACATTGTCACATCTTGTCATCATTTACTGCAAATTTTGACGCACCGCTCACGAGGATTCTAGGCAGATCGCTCCGCACTTTTTTCTTTGAGGAAAACGGGGGTCTGCAGACCCGGATATTTATCGAGGATCCCACATGGGAGGTGCCCGTTCTTCGAGCGGGTAGGCACGAAACGCATTTTGTCAATTGGACATGGGAATTCGTTTTGTTTCTACGGGGAAGCTAGAAACAGATATGCGGGCGGAACGTATCAAGCGGAATTCCGCCAGCCCTTCCCCAACATGGCACCAGGGGACAGGTCAATCTACGAAACGACAACATGTGGCCGGTGCCCTCTTTGGGACATTTGCAACGCGAGGATCTCAGCGAGCGTGGTCTCGCTGGCCTGGCAGTATCCTGTTGCCGGTCTCATTCCTCTCGGGCCTGGCTGCGCAGTGGCCCCTGCCTCATCCGTCGCCGAGTGTCGAGTCGCAGGAGGAGGATCGAGGAGAAGGAGGAAGAGGAGGAGGAGAAAGAGGAGGTGTCGCGAGGAGGAGGAGGGGAAGGAGGAGGAGGAGGAGGAGGAGGAGCGAGGAGGAGGAGAACCAGGAGGAGGAGGAAGGAGGAGCGAGGAGCGAGGAGATGGATCGAGGTGGAGGAGGAGCTGCCGCACAGGACTTCGGGCGGCCAGGTGGGGCCGGCAAGAGACCCAGGCGGGCGGCGCGCGAGACCCCGCGACGAAGGCCCGCGACGCTCCCGGCCAGTCGGCGCGAGCCCGCAGGCGCGCGAGATGGAGCTTGAGCTGGAGAACCTGCAGGGCGGAATACGACCACAGCAGCCGGATCCACCTCCCATGCCGCGCTCCGCCGGGGCAGAGGGCAGATCTCTAGGCTTCCCAGGTTGGGTCTGAGTAGTCAGGTGGGGTCGGAGAATCGCGCCGCATCGCATCGCCGATGCGGCTCGATGCGGAGCCTGATTTTTTCCTCGCGACGTCGCCGATGCAACGCCAACGTCGCCAGTGCATCGCCGATGCATCGGCGATGCATCGGCGATGCGGCGCGATCATCCGACCCCATCTACTCAGACGCCATCTGGGAGGCCTCTTTGAGGGCGGATCTCGAGGGAAGAGACACGCTGCACATGTTCAGGATGTCGCGGGATCTTGTGGACGCCCATCTCGGTCATGGCCTCAGAAAGACGGCCCACGAAATGAATATGACCAAGGCTGACGATGACCAAGGTCGATTCCCACGTTTCTGCGTTCCGTGTTTGTCATGGTCCTCGTTGTCATCTCTTTCAAGGCCATGTGTAGAGTTTTGGGAGCTCGTCTCTCAGCCGCGCGCAGAGGGGGGTAGGGGGAAGGGGGAAGGCTTCTTGGACGCTCCCCTGCTTCTGAGAAGCTTTCGCCCCTCCCCCCCAATTAGCTTCCTTTCTGTGCGCGCCGCGAACGTCTCCCCCGGCGCCAGCAGGCGGCCGTCCTGGCTCGCTCGGGGGCCTCGGGCCCCCGAGCGTCGTACGGCGGCGCATGCAGGGGGGGGCTGGCCCGAGGGGGGCGGCCTTGGAAGAAGCAAAGGGGGCTCCTCAGAAGGCCGGGGGGGGGGTTCTCAGAGCCCCTTTTTCCCAGCTCCGAACCGAGATGGGTCTTCAGACCCTCCTCCCCCCGAGTAGTGGAGACAGGGTTTCCTTTCGGCGCCCTTCTTGACGGACCGGGGTCCCACGAACAATGGAACATTCTTATTTCTGTGCGGCATCCGCCGCGCTACAACGACGACGACGACTATGCGGGGGAGGAGGAGAAGGAGGAAGAGGAGGAGGAGGAGAAGCAGGAGGAGGAGGAGGGGCGGAGTTTATTCCCCGCCGAGAGAAACAGGGGGGGAGGGAAACAATGATATCGCGGCGTGATGAATTTGTCACCACAGCCTGATAACAATGTTACCACGACGTGATACCAATGTTACCACGCCCGCCGTGATAAGAATGTTCTCACGCCGTGGTAGCACCGTTACCAGGCTGTGGTCACATTGATATCGCAACGCTATCATGGTGATATCAGGTGTTATCGGGTGCGATCGTGATCCGCTGCCCCCCCACCCCACCACACACCTCATCATTAGCGCTTGCGCTAACCACCCATTTCGCGATTGCGCTAACCGCTTTAGTGCCTAGAGCTCGCGCTACCCACCCCCCTTTAGCGCTTGCGCTATCCATCCTCTTCAGCGCTTGCGCCACCCTTTAGCGCTTGCGCTATTCATTTCATCGCTTAGAGCTTGCGCCACCCACCCCCTCTAGTGCCCGCGGTGCCCGGCGCAGGTGCGTTTGCCAAACTCGCATCAGCGCGCGTGCGCTCAGTGAGGACCCCTGCTTTTCCGAAGATAACTTTGATGCCTCGCCACTTGCAGCCGTTTGGGCATAAGCGCGCGTGCGATCGGGGGGGCACCGCACCGCGCTTTTGGCTTTCCCAGGGCTGCTGGCAGAGTGCAGCGTCTGCTGCGAGAGGCGAAGTCCGCCCAATGTACCACGGGGTCTAAAGGCCAAGACCTTGGCGTGCGGACACAAGTTCCACAAGTATCGCGTAGAGAAGTACTGTGATGCGAGCCACTGCATGCCATGCCGTGCCCTGTGTGCCACCGCAGCGCGCAGGATATCAGCAGCGCCGATGCCCTGATGGACCTAGTCGGTGACGCGCCAACCGCAGATCCGCCGCAGCCGCCAGAGGGGCCGCCAGAAGTCTTTCAGGACAGTGAGGATGGCGATGTAGAGCCAGCTGGCGAGGGCGAGGAGCCCGCGGGAGAGGCCGCAGGCGACGCCAACGAGGCGTCAGCGGGAGAGGTCGCAGATGATGTGGGCGAGGGGCCCGCGGAAGAGGCCGCAGACGACGCGGGCGAGGAACCGTCGGGAACGGGCGAGGAGGAGAAGGCTTCCCCAGACGACGACTCCGCCGACGAGGACAAGGGCAAGCCAGGCAGAGACGAGCCAGGCAAACGCACGCCAGACACGAGCAAGATCCACCAAGGCACGGGCAATAATGGCAAGAAGGGCAAGGGCGAGATACCGACCCGCAAGAGCAAGTGCATGGGAAGCAACGGCAACGCGGTTGTCCTATCCCCAGCGACGGCGGTTGACAATGGGGTTGCCCCATATGCGAAGCCGATGGCGAGGGCGTCCCCGGTCGTGCGGGGCCAGGTCGACAATAGTGCGTGGCCCGGCAATTGCGGCAGCGAGTGCAACCATTTCCGCGGTCAGATCAGGTGCAAGGGGCAGGCCGCTTGGACGTCCAGCTTGCCAGGGTGCACGGCCAATGGCTGACGGCCGAGTTCCGGCGGATGCCGCTGAACAAGGCCCAGGAGTTCTCCAGGAATTTGGCCAGCCTGCCGATGGAGGAAGCGCGGGGGGATTCCAACGCGCATTTCTCGAAGTACGAAGTAAAAGAGGAATGCTGCGTCGTCGGCGGCGAGCCCATGCCGCTCTCTGCCTGGAAGACGAGTGGCTTCAACGTGGACACCGAGACCAAAACAGAGGAGATATGCAAACAATGGCACAAGGTGCTCGGCTGCACGCATCGCGCGAGGTTTCAGCAGACGAGCAAGAGGGGCTGGCCAGGCCAGAAGGCCGATGACGCGAAACGCTGCAACATCAAGATGACCAACATGAATCTTGGGAACGCGGCCGAGGGCGAAGCTCCTTCCGAAGCTCCTGTCGTCGAAGGGCCAAGCGAGGACTCGTCTGGTTCCAGCAGCGGCAGCACTGGCGGCAGCAGACGCAAGTACAGGATGAACAATTACAAGAAGGATGGCCAACGGTCAAGAAGGTTAAGTGGAGGAGGAAGCTGCGGCGCCAGCAGGAGAAGGACAAAAGAAGAGGGGCAGCAACGCGCCAAGGTGCTCAAGTCCAAGGAGAGCACTGCGACCCAGCGCGAGAAGTTGCTGAACGCACCCACGCTTGGCCTCGCGGAGAAGATACCCCAGCGCAATTTCGATAACCTTCCTGAGGAAGTGAGCGACAGTGCCGCGACGGCCGCGAGGATACGACGGCTGCGCTGGAGAAGACGAAGACAGCGAGCACAGACGTCAAAGCGGGCATGCCCGAGAAGAAGGACGTTCAGCAGCGCGCGCCGAGGCGAAGAAGTGCGCCGCGCTGATTGCTGAGCTGCTGAGCTCCTTGCCCATCTTCGAGCGAGCGCCTTGGCCGACCGCCTCAGCGGCCATGCCCGCGCGAAGACGCGCGCGCGCGGGAATCCGCGCGCGCGGGCCCCCCTGCAGACCTGCGGCACCACTTGGAATTTTCAGCGCCGGTAGCGCCGCGCTCGGGCGAAACTTTGGCTATCAAGTCTCGGGCACATGCGCCAGTTAGATAGTTTGTCTTGGCCACCCCCTCCCCCCGCATGGCCCATCGTTGTCATCTAGGGCTCCGCGGCGCAAGGCGCCATGTTAAGTGCAATTCGCTATGTCCAGCTCGCTGCTCGATCGCCGGCGCCATCGCCGTCGCCGCCGTCGCCGCGTCATGTTGGTCACCCACTGCGCTGCGTTCAGCGCCAGGCGCCGCGTTCTGCGCCGGGCGCCGCATTCAGCGTCGAGCGCTGCGCTCAGCGCCGGGCGCCATGTCCAGCGCCAAACGCTACGTTCAGCGCCGGGCGCTATGCCCAGCGCTATGTTCAGCGCCAAGCGCTATGCTCAGCCCGATGCACTGCCAGACGTTCGGCCCAGGGCGGCGCGCCAGCGTTGGCCTTTTGGCAGTTTCGGCCCACGGCGCCGAGGAAGCGACGAGGCGCTACGCGGGCTGGCCTGAGCGATCTCAGTAGCCAGATCAAAAGGTCGGCGGAGGACTTGCCCGAGAAAGTCTCGCGGCAAAGGCGGCCAGTTGCGAATCGTGGCCGGTTCAGTGTCGCGCGCCACGCTGAGCGTTTCGTTCGGGTCGGTCACTGGGATTGAGGACTGGCCGAACCGAACCGATTGGTTACACTAATGGTTTGGAAGAGCGCTGTCACGCGCGACCTCTGCGCTCGCGCCGCGGCCCGCTACCCGCCGAGCAAGGAGGGGCCACGGGCGCTGATCCTTGGACATGATGAATTCTCTTTACGCGGGATGTTTGACGCAGCGAACGAGAGGGCGCCAATGAACTCGACCTTTACTTTTTGGAACTAGGGGCGCACATCGCAAGGAGCGACGACGCCTGGTTCACCCCTGTGGTCGCGAGGGGCAGCAGGCTGACAAGGTGGCGGGCGTTTGGGGCGCGTTCCAAAGATGCCACCGGCCCCGCCTTTTGGGCCCTAGCGGCTGGGCGACGGCAGGCGTTCCCGCGGTTATATCTGGCGCGCCGGCGATGATATTTGCGTCGCTGAGGCACGCGGCGGCCGACCTGGACGGCCGCCGCAGGTCGTGGGACAGCAGAGGCGCGAACGGGCTTCGGCCTTGCCATGGGCGCGGCAATGCTATGAGGAAGAATTCGCAGACTGCAAACGAGGACCCCGAGATCGCGCGCTTCGACACCAGGCGCTTCGACGAGCGCGCAAGCTCCGGCGCGCGCCGCTACGCGGTTGCCCTGGGGGCCGCCCGCGCGGAGCGAACAGCTGCGATATGACGAAATCTGCAAATTTGACAACCTACAGAAAGAAGCGCCCGGCTTGCGATTCGCGCCGCATGGCGCTCTACATGGCGACGAGTTGCGCGCGCATGTTGATGTCATTGGCGCGACGGTGATCGATTGGGCCGCATGTGAACTGCAGAATAGTGCGTTCTCAGTGAATGCGAGGCTCCTGATTGAACAATGCCACGGGGTCCTTACAACCGCGTGGGGCAAGATCCACGTTTATTTCAAAGATAGTCGGACCTTCCCTGCTCGGGGGCAAGTGAGGAGCA